CCCCCCGCCTAAAACAAAAACACATTCTTCTCCACACCCATCATCTCTCCAAGAGAAAGAGGTTAAGTACCCTTAGATTGTGTTTTTTGGTTCATCATAACTTTGTGGGTACAGTTATCATTTTGGCCTATTACGCTTTCAGTTCTCCATCCCCCACTGTTGAGCCTAGTGATTAGTTTTGCACGTATGTATATTTTGGATCCACAAGGCCTGTTCTCATAATTGGTGCTCAATAAGAATTTGTAGAAAGATTGAATATAAATGTTATGTAAGAAAAAAAAAAGATGAAAGTATACATAGTATGGTTATTACTGTTTTGTTTTAAATAAAACTCTTTGCATAGAAAAAACTGAGAATGTTTATATCAACATTTTAAACACTTTTTGGGTAGTGAGATTAATATTTTTGACATTTTACATTTTTCAAGAAAACATTTAATGTGCCATTATTATTTCATGAGACACAACCTGACAAACTGTGTAACTTGTGCCTACTCAGATGAAGTTTTGCATTTCTTTAGGTCCACAAGGCAGGTAAAACTTCCAGTCTCTTAACCACAGACCTGACTACAGAGATGCCTGGTTGGCTAAAGAATGTTTCATTGCAACCTGAGATATTGGAGGATCCTGGTCCTACGCCCAGCACTCAGCAAGTAAAAAGTTCTGGGGAAATCCAGATTGCTACCTCTCTGCCAGTGGCTCCTTCTTACAGCTATTCTACTCCCACCCCCCAGGCCTCTTTCCACAGCACCCCAACACCACACCCAGGTGAGGCCCTGTGCTCCTGCCCTTGAAGATAGAATAGGAAAATGAAGTATCTGATCAAAATGTTCCCTTTTAGAGGAAAGAAGGGACTTGAATACTTCATGATAGAGAAAAAACAACCCTGTCGGTACTTCTGTAATCATGGACTTGGGGGCTCTGGATCCCTTTCTTGGCAGGCCTCCAGCCTATGGAAGTTTATGAGGTTCATTTTCCTAGAGCAGGATTCCACTGTGACTTCAAGGGACAAGATTCAATTAAGTAAAGTTCAAGGAAATCACATGAACAGAGGCCACTGGGAGGAAAGAGTTGGATCCCTGCACTTGTTCGCTTTCTGAAAGGCTAGTTATAGGTCAGATATTTAGCTCTCATTTTTACAACATTTTTATTATAAAGCCACTCATAGGAAAGAAATTTATACATAGAGTGTTGCCTTAACAAGGTGCCGTTCTCGGGTATTAAGAAGAAATGGTTAATCAGGGAAACTAATTTGATCTTTATCTCCTGAAAAAGTCAAGAGGGTAAAGCAAAGTCAGTGGAGATGAATTTTTGCCAATTTTTAATTTCCTAGGGTCTCCTGAGTGGTAACAGAACATGAAATTTTAGAGTTTCAAATCCTGAGGCACCAAAGTAATTTTTGTATTCAGGCAGAATGCCTGTAATTTTTGGTGTAATTGCAAAGGGCTTGGGTTGTTCTATACTGAATAGCCATTTTTTTTTTTTTTTGGTCCATTATACTTTTTCTGAGTGTTGTGGTTTCTTTTCTTTTTTTGTTTTTGAAAGTCACTTCAGAGAGTTCTCATTTCATCTCCTGGGGCATCCAAATGCTAAAGCTTCCATAAAGGATGGTTTCATTTCTTCCCAAGTGCAGCGTTTTCCAACCAGAGGCAAATCTCAAGTTTCTTATTTGTCTAGGAAGCCCATCTCACCTCCAAATCTTGAAATATGAGTGGACCAGCCTGTTTGCTTTAAGCTCTCCTAGTTTCAAGGTCTCATACTGATTGAACAATTATTGTCAGAGAAATAAGATTTATATAATCAGTGCTTCTCCATGGTCTATAAACTTTTTTGGTTGTTATAACTGTGGTGGTGGGTGTGCTATTGACATCTTGTGGGTGTAGACCAAGGATACTGCTAACCCTCCTACAGTGCTCAGGACAGCCTCCCCCTCCCCAACAAAAAATTATCTCGTTCAAAATGTCAGTAGGGCTGAGGTTGAGAAATCCTGCCATATATGAAATAGGTAGTGAATAGTATAAAGACAGGATATAGCTCTTTGCTGAGTTGGGTGTTCCAGAAATGCTAAAGTAGTTCAAGATTAGATTAGTTTGAACTGAAATGGTCTAGGAGGGTTTTTTGGAGAGGAAGCAGACTTTAAGCTAGAAAAGAAGTGCTATATTTAGAATAAAGAAAGGCAAACATCCCAATTGAAAGAAATAGGTTTAGCAAAGTCCTTGAGAGTAGACCATGGTTTCTGTGGAACACATGAGGGAAAATTAATAGAACTAGATAGAGGCAAAGTGAGTAGGAAGGATGAGAGGTGAGATCAGATGATGGTGGTTCTCTAATGCCAGGTTAGAAACTTAGTCTTAATGGTGCGGAGTGGGGTGTTCTTAAATAGGAAAATAACATGGTGGGTGAGTATTTTGGAAAGACTAATGGTGTTTCGTGTTTTAGGAAGACAGAATGGATCAGAGCGGGGACAGCTAGCTCCTCCCTCCTCCTAAGGGAGTGAGATTCACACTCACAATCTAAGTGTGAACCATCTATGGTCGTAACAACTGGAATGGAAAGACAAGCAGGTTTTGCTACGGATCCTTGCCTTTCCTTCTAGTCTGTTAATACGTATTTATTACAAAATTATTTATCAGCATAGACGTGATACTTGAAACAATTTGAACTCTTTGAAAAGCAGTATGTAAAGAGAGTTTAGGGACAGACTATAGTTAAAATATAGTGGAGAAAAAGAGAGAACGAGGGCGGCGCCTGTGGCTCAAAGGAGTAAGGGCCGGCCCCATATGCCGGAAGTGGTGGGTTCAAGCCCAACGCCGGCCAAAAACTGCAAAAAAAAAGAAAGAAAAAGAGAGAACGGAGGAAAAGTAGAATGATACGGTGCCATGCTAACCAAGATGGAGGCAGTGAGCAGTAGTGGATGCCCCTGAGGTAAAGGATGAGGATTGAGACAGCTTTATCAATACATATGCTAAGAGGCAGAACAGTGGTGACCTTGAAAGATCCTTCTCAATGGAATGAGAGAGTAGAAAAGTAAATGATGACAGGAGTTGAATATCATTCGTGAAAGGAGTTTGATCACAAAGGAAGGAAAGAAATGGAACAGTCTGGAACTATTTCTTATCTCTGGTGTGTTTACTTTGTTTCCTTCCAGTTATAAAGGAACTGGTGGTGTCTGCTGGAGAGAGTGTCCAGATGACCCTGCCTAAGAATGAGGTTCAGTTAAATGCATTTGTTCTCCAAGAACCACATGAAGGTAAAAATCCCTTTATGTTTGGATAGAATTTCTTTCTTTCTTTTTTTTTTTTTAAAGCAATAGGATCCCAATTAGCTATGACTCCTGGCACATACTACTGTGCCTGGCTAGAATAACATTTCAGGTTATAATGATATCCACATACGTCAACTTATTTTTTTCTTACAGCAGTCCTGGGAGGACAGGATACCCCATGAGTGTATACAAATATTTATGTAATACCAGAGACAATAGAAGATAGGTTTTGATAGCCAGGTGTTGTGGTGGGCACTTGTAGTAGCCAGCTACTTGGGAGGCTGAGGCAAGAGAATTGCCTAAACCCAGGAGTTGGAGGTTGTTATGAGCTATGCAATGCCATGGCACTCTACCAAGGGCAATCAAGTGAGACTGTCTCTACAAAAAAAAAAAAAAAGAAAAGAAAGAAAGAAAAGAAAAAAGATAGGTTTTGAGAGCATAGCTTTGATATCAAGCCTGGGTTACAATACTAGCACAGTCAGTTATTGCTGAATGATTTTAAGTAATGCTTCTGAGTTTTCATTTCTTTCTCTGTAAAATGGGGATAATAATGCCTGCCTTATAAAGTTACTTTATGGGGCAAAGTGAAATAGTGTACGAATCATCAGCTCCTTGCCTACCATGTAGCTGACGCTCATCAATGTAGAATTTATTCATCAGATTGTATTATATTCATTCAAAGAGGAAGAAGCTGGCCAGTGGCTCACTCCTGCAACCCTAGCACTTCAAGATGCCAAGGTAGGAAGATTGCTTAAGGCCAGGAGTTTGAGATTAGCCTGAGCCAAGATAGCAAGACTCCAGCACTACAAAAATAGAAAAATTAGCCTGGCATGCCTGTAGTCCCAGCTACTCAAAAAGCTGAGTTAGGAGGGTTGCTTGAGCCAAGCCTTTTGAGGTAGCAGTGAGCTGCAATGTCACTGAACTCCTGCCTGAGCAACAAAGCAGGACCCCATCTCAAAAAAAAAAAGTTTTTTCTCTCTTTTCTTCATCTCTTGCCTCCCTTTCTCCTGTTCCTCTCTCTAGTTAAAAAGAAGAAGAAGAAGAAACTTGAGACTCAGATTAATCTGTTTATTTTGGCTGAAGACCTAGTAAATGGCAGATATAGGCCAACATGGTGGCTCACTCCTGTAATTGCAGCACTTGGGAGGCTGAGGCGGGAGGATTGCTTGAGCCCCCGACGTTTAAGACCAGCCCAGGCAACACAGAAAGACCCTCTTTCTATTAAAAAAAAAAAAAATGTTTTTTTAAATTAGCCAGACATAAATTAGCCAGCTACACACTTTAGTCCAGCTACTTGGGAAGCTGAATTGAGAGGATCTCTTCAGCCGAGGAGTTTGAGGCGACAGTGAGCTATGATTGTACCCTGTTCTCCAGTTTGGGTGACAGAGAGAGAACTTGTCTCAACCCCCTCCCCCCCAAATACAAAAAACAAAACAAAACAAAACAAAAAAACAGATGTAGAACTTGGAGGGAAGTAAGACTACTGTTAATATAGATTTATAACTTAAAAAAATGAAATATAAGGGCCAGGCATGGTGGCATGTGCCTGTAATCCCAGCTGCCCGGGAGGCTGAGATGGAAAGATCAGTTGAGCCCAGGAGTTTGAGGCCAGAACAATATAGTGAGACCTCATCTTTTTTTTTTTTTTTTTTAAAAAGATAAGCCCTATGTTAAATACAAAATTCAAACATATAAAACATATAAATTGGGGGATGATTAATTCATTATTTAAATATATTTTGTAATATGAGCATTCCTTTTACCTTAAACTTCTGGGCCTCAAGCAATCCTTCCGCCTCAGCCTCCCACAGTGCTGCAATTACAGGAGTGAGCTACCATGTTGGCCTACATCTGCCATTTACTAGGTCTTCAGCCAAAATAAACAGATTAATCTGAGTCTCAAGTTTGAAGCAAATGTTAACATAATGGAGTTTGACTTATAAACACATACATGTTCTCTTAAGACTATGAGTGACCCAAATGAAACATACTCTGGTGGGAGGTTTGGGTTGCTTAGGTTTATGTCACTCTTATTAAAAGGTTGGTCAAGTAGAACGCCCTTCCCTATTCGAGGTATGGTTCTTCCATTTTAGATACACATATTTCCAATTTCCAGTATTCTTAATTTGGTCTAAACCAAACAGTACTTTTCCAGAACCCAAATCCCCCCTCTCTTTTTTTTTTTTTTTTGAGATAGAATCTCACTTTGTCACCATCAGTAGATTGCCATGGTGGCATAGTTCACAGCAACCTCAAAACTCTTGGGCTCAAGTGATCCTCTTACTTCAGCCTCCTAAATAGCTGAGACTACAGGAACCTCCTACAAGGCCTAGCTAGTTTTTTAGTAGACACAGGGTCTCAACCTCCGGAACTCAGGCAATCCATCCACCTCAACCTCTCAGAGTGCTAGGATTATAGGCATGAGCCATTGTGCCCGGCCTCCTCTCTCTGTTCTATATTTCTGCTTTTCAAAGTGAGGTTCTCTTATCAGTTCATCTCACCTTCCTCTAGAAAAGCTTTTTTCTTTTTTTTGGTGGTAGGTGATTGAGTTTGGTGGCCTTTGAAGATGGAGGTGAAAAAAGAACTGCCTTGAGCTGTGATTACCTCCACTCTGGTGAAGATATGCTTGGTCCTACTGTATTTTCTTTCCTGACCCGTATTTGCATGTACATTTCTATGAGTTACTGTCATCATGCACATTAATATTCCAGAACACATCTGTTCAGAAACAGATTTCTTTTCAACTCTGCTTTCCCCAGGTCCTCCAGCCCTTATCCGATATAGGAACTAGATGGTTACAAACTTTCAAAGGTTGGGCCCGATGATCAGACCAACTCTGCATGTTTTTCATCCCCACCTCCCCTACCTGTGGGCAGCCCAGCAGGATCCTCTAGGGCAGTGGTTCTCAACCTTCCTAATGCCACGGCTCTTTAATATGGTTCCTGTGGGCTGCTACCCACAGGTTGAGAACCGCTGCTCTAGGGTTTGGAGGTTCGCTCTCAGAACCACTGCCCTGAAAGCCTGCAGCCAGCATTGGAACAGACCTATTCTCAGGTGCTCCTATTCTCCACCAGATTTCTGCCTGCAGGCATAATTGCTTTACTGTCCTAGGAATATGGTCCTTCTTTGAAATTTGTATTTGTTAGTCCAATTATAAAATTGTCAGTTCTTAAACTATTGAGTCTGTTTTCTTTGTGAAAGAAAATTTCCAACTATAATTAGAAGAAAGTTCCTTTTGCCTTCTTTACTGCTCTTCCCCTAACTTCTACCTACTCTAGTCTACATGTTTGTGAGAGCTGTATGGGTACAGCTGGCTGATTTGGGGGAAGGAAGGAAGATCTTTTAATTTTTCATTATTTTTTAATTTTTTGGAAACAGAAATGTAAAGAAGGAAAATCTTGTGTCCCAGGCATACAAAATAAAATCTGGCCTTCAGATGAAGGATAACTTGGAATTAGGTTCCATGTATTAACTTTAACATTTGAACTCATAAAATAAGAAAAAAGACAGCTCTCTTCTAAGCATTTGATTTTTCTTTTCTTTGTTGTTGTTGGGGTTTTTTTGGAGACACAGTCTTGTCCTATTGCCCAGACAAAAGAGTGCCATAATTTTAGCCTAGCTCACAGCAAACTCCTGGGCTCAACTGATCTTCCTACCTCCACCTCCCAAGTAGTTGGGATTACAGGCTTGTACCACAATGCCCCGCTAATTTTCCTCTTTTTTAGTAGAGATGGTCTTACTTTTGCTCAGTCTGGTGTTGAACTCCTGACTTCAAGCAATCCTCCTGCTTCAGCCTCCTAGAGTCCTAGACTTACAGATATGAACCACACACCCAGGCTCTTTTTCACTTTTGAGTAGTAATTGAAACTAAACCTTTCTACCATATCCCACCCTTTTCTAGCTAGAGATGCATTTTGTTCTAAAATATTTAAGACCACTTTTACTGGGAAGGGGATTCCATTTCAATAATAGGATTCTACCCTTGCCCTTCCCAGTGATACAGTCTGAGCTGCAAATGAGGACCATTTAGTGCTTCATTTAATCTTAATTAATTTCAGTGGGGCCTGTTTTAAATGGGCCATCCCCTACCATCTTCTGCAGCGTGTTATTTAGCTCAGCAGGAATGAAGGAGCTCTTTTAACTCACCAGGGTGTGATGACCTCAGTGAGAGGAGCATTGTTAGCACTCTGTAAGAAGCTATTTTTGAACCATGTTATTTAGAAGTCATTGCTGTTCTTTGTTGCAAAAGAAGTTTTGCAAGAAAATGGCCTTTGTTCCCCGTGAGTTCATCTATAATGGTTGGTAGGGCATGTATTTTCAGTGGCTTGCCACCCCATGAGCAACCTGGTATTTTTTAGGGAGGGCTATGTGGCAGGAGAGAGCATTGTTGAAAGTTGGAAGAAGCTCTAACTTATAGCTGAGTCAGCAGAAGCCACTATTTCTTGTAGCAGATGGTTTGGTTTCCCTGCAGACTTTGGGGTGAAATCTTGAAAACTAAGGCCTTATCAAGATTTAGAAGAGATTCATTATTGGCAGGCTATGTGGCTGTCTTTTTTTGTGTGTAGGTGTGTGTTTTCATGATTTTTGTAACTGCCCTTCTATAGGAGAAACCTACACCTACGACTGGCAGCTGATTACTCATCCTAAAGACTACAGTGGAGAGATGGAAGGGAAACATTCCCAGATCCTCAAACTATCCAAGGTGAATTTGCCTCCTTTCACTTGCAGGAAGTTGATTATTTTCTAAAATGAATAATATAGAATTTTCTGTCACATTTAAGTTAGGAACAGTCTTTCAGAAATGAATCCTCCAAAAGTCTGGCTGGCTGACATCCAGTATTTGTTAGTGTATGATTCTCAAATTTTCATTTATGGTAGGAAGACTGTACCAGTATGGCAGTGATAGCTGAAAATATACACTAAACAGCTTTTTAGTGTAACATAAGGATTTTAGCACTCGGGAGATGAGCTAGGTTATTTGTGGCCACATGCCTTTGTACAGTGGCTGAGTCCTTTTGGGATTTAGTGTAGTTATTAACAGCCTTAAAAACGTTTGTATTCTTTGACCCAGCTATCTCATTCATTCATTCATTCATTCAATAACTATTCATTGTATACTAGTTATGTGGCAGGCATTGGAATTTACCAGTGAATTAACCATAGTCTTAATGTTTAAGGACAATAAAGTCTAGTAGGTAATACTGGCAGGAAGCAGCTTATTATAACAGGTGGTGCAGTAGGTTAGTACAAGGTGGGGGGGGGTCATTGAAGCCCCTAGGGAGTCAAAGTAGATTACTTAGAGTTTGCCTACTTGGGGCATAAAAGGCAAATGACTTAGTGGGTAAAGGATGGAGGGATAGTACCCTAAGCAGAGGAAGCAACATTTCCAGGTGTGGCACCTGGGCCAAAAATGAGAGCGAATATGTGGGGAAAAGGGAATTACATGTGGTTCAGCCTGACTAGACCCTAAGGTATGAGGAAAGCAGTGGCACAAGTAAGTTGGAGAGATGCAGGGGCCAGATTGAGCAGTGCCTCTTGTGCCAGATTAAGGACTTTGACTCTTATCCAGAGGGAATAGGAAGTCTTTTAAGGGTTTTAAGCAGCAGAAATGTTTAGATCTTTAGTTTAGAAAAGTCACCCTGATTGCAGATTGCTGGGAGGCCAATGAGGAATCTGTTGAAAACGTTAGATGCAAAATGATAGTAGCTTGAGTAAAAAAACTAAATAAATAAAAATTAAAAACCACCTATTGAGCTATTATACCACATGCCAGACACGATGCTAATTGTTTTATACAATTATTTATTTTAACAATCCCAAGATGCAGGTATTACTGTCTCTTTTACTACTGACAAAACTAAAAATTGGAGAAACAAAGTGATTTGATCAAGGGTCATAAATCAAATAAATGGTAGGTCTCAATTGGAGCTTTCTGGCTCTCAGGGCCATGCTTTCAATGATTGTGCTACATTGAATGGTTAAAGAATAAGGTGAGGGCAGTGTAGATGGAGAAAAGTGAGCAGATTTGAGAAAAATACAGAGGTCAACCTGATAAAATTTGATGATCAGTGAACTGAGTGGGCACACTGGGGAAGAGAAGCTAGGATAATTCTAGCTTTTTGGCTTAGGTACGCGGGTGGAGGATGACGGGAAAGAGAAGCAGGTTGGGCAGGTTTGTAGATGAGTAATTAATTCCTTTTGGACAGAGTGAGTTTGAAGAACCTGTGAGACATTTGCATTGAGTGTGTCCAGATAGTAGCTGGGGGCAGAGGGCTAGAGATCAGGAGACAAGTCTAGGCTAGGAGATAAATTTGCACATCAATCTCAAGTAGATGATTATTGAAGCCACAGTAATAGATAAAATCAACCAGGGAGAGTGTGCAGAGGGAGGAAATAAGCAGGCTGGGGTTGCAGTCCCAGAGAACACTGTCAATTCAGGATGGAAGGCAGAGGAAACTGAAGGAAAGGAAATGCAGAGAAAGCCAAGGAAGGAGGGCATTCCAAGGAGGAAGTGGTCAAAATATTACTTGCCATCAATTGGTATTTACCCAAAGAAGATAATTCAAAAGAAAGAAAAAAATTCAGTTGCCTGGAAGATGTTCATTATAGCATTAATCATAATATGGTGAAAATTTGGAAATAACCCAGGTATCTATAGTATCAAATGCTTATGTGAATTATTACACATTTATTCATGTCCTATCCTGTAGTCATTAAAACAAATATTAAAAAAAAATTAAGGCTCGGCGCCTGTGGCTCAACCCGCTAAGGCGCCAGCCACGTACACCTGAGGTGGCGGGTTCGAATCCCCAGCCCGGACCCGCCAAACAACAATGACGGCTGCAACCAAAAAATAGCCAGGCGTTGTGGCGGGCGCCTATGGTCCCAGCTACTTGGGAGGTGGAGGCAGGAGACTCGCTTGAGCCCAGGAGTTGGAGGTTGCCATGAGCGTGATGCCATGGCACTCTACCCAGGGGGATAGCTTGAGGCTCCGTCTCAAAAAAAAAAAAAATTAAAAAGACTACACCTGAAGCCAATAGACAATCTAATGCATGCCCACATAGGAGAAAAACTCATTTTAATTCAAGTTGGGGGAGGGGTAAGGAGCGAGGAGGAGGGGGAGGGGTGTTCACACTGAACAGGCATGGTGTGGGGCGTGCTTGGCACACCTTTTGAGTGTGGGGATAACCACATGAGGAACTCTACCTAACAAAATCAAATATTTTGACCTGGTTGTTTGTACTCTCACATTAACCTGAAATAATAATGGAAAAAAAAAAAAAGGCTATACTGTACTAAATGAATGGAAAAAAACACAATAAAAAGGTTGATACCTTGATTTTAGCTAGAGCCTGAATATCACTGAAATATGAGCTCCTTGAAAGTAGAGATTTTACCTTACTCATCTCTAAACCCCCCCCCCCCAGGAAAGTGACTGGTATATGATTGGGTCTCAGTAAATATTTGTGGAACAAATGAACTGTCTAAAACTGTATTTTTGTATGTAGTCAAAGATTGGAAGGAAATAGAGAAATATGATGAGTTGATATGTTAAGATAGTGAGATGGTGGGCGATTTTATTGTTTTGTTTTGTTTTCCATTATGTTACGTTTATACAGTTAGTAAAAATCAGGAGGGAAAAATATTCAGATATTTGGGAGCGATTTAGTATCTTACAAAATGTTTTTCTTTGAAGAGTTGATTATCTTAATTTCATAACTTTGAAGTAGGATGGTTGGGCCCTTAATGTTCTTCTGAAAAGAAAATGGGAGTACCGAGATATTGAAATCCCTTCTGTTGTTCTAGAGTCAGCTAGTAATAAGATTCACATTAAAACGTGATTTTTTTTTTTTTTAGTTTAATTTATTGTTTTATCTCTTCAGCTAGTTTACTATTTCCATGTTAGAAAGAGAACAAGAGGGCAGCACCTGTGGCTCAGTGTGTAGGGTATGGGCCCCATATACCAAGGATGGCGGGTTCAAACCCAGCCCTGGCCAAACTGCAACCAAAAAAACAGCCGGCTATTGTGGCAGGCGGCTGTAGTCCCAGCTACTTGGGAGGCTGACACGAGAGAATTGCCTAAGCCCAAGAGGTGGAGGTTGCTGTGAGCTGTGATGCCACAGTACTCTACCGAGGGTGACATAGTGTTTCTCTGTTTAGACTCTGTTTCTAAAAAAATAAAATAAAAAAATAAAAAAGAGGGTGGCTCCTGTGGCTCAAAGGAGTAGGGCCCAGGCCCCATATGCCAGAGGTGGATATTCAAACCTAGCCCTGGTCAAAAACTGCAAAAAAAAAAAAAAAAGAAAGAAAGAAAATAAGAAAAGAAGGCTGGGTGCAGTGGCTCACACCTGTAATCTCAGCACTCTGGGAGGCTGAGATGGGCAGATTGTTTGAGCTCATGGATTTGAGACCAGCCTGAGCAAGAGCAAGACCCTGTCTCTAAAAATAGCCAGGTGTTGTGGAGGGTACCTGTAGTCCCAGCTACTCAGGAGAGTGAGACCAGAGAATCACTTGAGCCCAGGAGTTTGAGATTGCTGTGATCTATGATACTACGGCACTCTATCCAGGACAACATAGTGAGACTCTGTCTCAAAAAACAAACAAACAAATAAAACCCCCAAAACAAGAAAAGAATGAAAGGGTGGCACCCGTAGCTCAGTGGGGAGGGTGCCAGCCACATACACCAAGGCTGGTGGGTTCAGACCCAGGTCAGACCTGCTAAACAACAATGACAACTGCAACAAAAAAATAGCCAGGGTTTGAGGTGGGCGCCTATAGTCCCAGCTACTTGGGAGGCTAAGGCAAGAGAATCGCCTAAGCCCAAGAGTTTGAGGTTGCTGTGAGCTGTGATGCTACAGCACTACACAGAGGGTGACATAGTGAGACTCTGTCTCAAAAAAAAAAGAAAAGAAAGAAAAGAACAGAATGAAAGATTCAGCACGTGGAAGTTCAGGTATGCATGTTACCTCAGTGTAATTGCTGCTCTTTGTAGTTGTCTAACAGACCCTCTTTCACTTCTGCAGCTGACTCCAGGACTGTATGAATTCAAAGTGATTGTAGAGGGTCAAAATGCCCATGGGGAAGGCTATGTGAACGTGACAGTCAAGCCAGGTATGTGTTTCCACTGCTTCCACTGCAGGACTCCTGAGGAGACAAAGATTTAACTTTGAGGTTTTCAGGTCCTGTTCTTGTAATATATTTATTGGGCAATTCCTAGTTCAATGTAGTAAAGGTTGTAGTAGCAAAATACAGACTTTGTTCTAGTTGGAACTTGAGTTGGGCATGTGGCACACAGTGCAGTATGGCAGGGCCTGAGCAATAGCTTGTCTAGCAGAGAATGATCTCTCCACGGGGCCACGCTGAGAGGACCATGTGTTGTAATTAACAGACACCAGGAAGCCAGGAGCCTAGGAGAAGCACTCAGAAGGAGAACCAGCCAAGTGACCAGCTCTTTCTGCTCTCTTTCCAGAGATGGGGGCTTTTGTACAGAGTTCCTCAGTTTTACACTACTAGTCTCTTTTACCTTGGAAGCAAAATCCTGTCATTCTTACAAAATGAGCCACTGTTGGTGGATCATAGTGCAGTATCAAGGCATCTCATTTTGCATTTTCAGAGATAAGTTTGAGAGTGGCACATACACTGGTACAAATTCTTTCCTTTTTTTTAGAGACAAAGTCTCAATGGAGTGCAGGCGTTATCATAGCCCACTGTAACCTTGAACTCCTGGGCAAAGTGATCCTCCTGCCTCAGCCTCCTGAGTAGCCAGGAATATAGGTGTGCACCACTATGCCCTGTTAATTAAAAAAAAAATGTGTATAGAGGGTCTTGATGTGTTGTGCAGGCTGATCTTGAACCCCTGGTCTCAAACAATCCTCCCCCCTTGGCCTCCCAAAGTGCTGGGATTACAGATGGGAGCTGCCATGCCCAGCTTGGCACAAATTCTTTTTTTTTTTTTTTTTGAGAAATGGTCTCACTATGTCACCCTCGGTAGAATCCCATGGTGTCCCAGCTCACAGCAACCTCAAACTCTTGAGCTTAAGCAATTCTCTTGCGTCAGCCTCCCAAGTAGCTGGGACTATGGGCACCGAATCACAACATCTGGCTATTTTTTGTTGTTGTTGCAGTTGTTTAGCTGGCCCAGTTTAATCCCTCCGTCCTCGGTGTTTGTGGTTGGCGCCGTAACCACTGTGCTATGGGCGCCGAGCCTTTTTTCTTTTTTTTAAGTCAGAGTCTCAAGCTGTCACCTGGGTAGAATGCTGTGGCATCGCAGCTCTCAACAACCACAAACTCTTGGGCTTAAGCAATTTTCTTTCCTTAGCCTTTCAAGTAGCTGAGACTACAGGTGCCAGCCACAACGCCTGGCTTTTTTTTGTTGTTGTTGCAGTTGTCATTGTTGTTTTTTAGCTGGCCTGGGCTGGGTTCGAATCTGCCAGCCTTGGTGCATGTGGCCGGCACCTACCCACTGAGCTGCAGGTACCACCCTTTGCACAAATTCTTAATACTGTTTTCTATCTTTATTAGTAATAGGTTTTCTTTTCGTTCCTTGAACTTTGTTGTAAAGATAATCCTTTCACCTTCTTACAAATGTGATCAGCATCAAAATTATTTGATCATCTCTGAAAGAAAAGGCCACTGGTTTTACACCATATTGTCATTAGGGTAAACCAGAGTGGTTTGAGCCCTCCTGTTACTCAGCCGTAGTCACATCACACACAGCGATCCCATCTTTTCAGCTTGGTCTGTGCCACGGAAAGGTTGTTTACCAAGACCTTTATTGCATAAAGCTTGTTTGTTGTCCATCTCTAGTTGGGCTTGCCTGAAAGCAGTCACTTGCTTCTGTAGTACTTTTCACCAACGAGGTAGTACACAAGCTCAGGACAGACAGTCTTAGGAATGGCCAGGTTTAGGAGAAGCTTGTTCACTTCCAGACGTCTTATGCTAGAAATGATAGCCTTGTGACTTTCCCATGTGGTGATGCTTCCGCCATCAATTATGTAGTAGATACTGATTTATATTCCTCCTATAATTTATAAAGCCCCTCTTCCAATTTCTTCTGGGTCACTTTCTTGGCAGAACCTCGTAAGAATCAACCTCCCGTTGCTATTGTGTCACCTCAGTTCCAAGAGATTTCTCTGCCAACTACTTCTACGGTCATTGATGGCAGCCGTGAGTACTTGCCTAAGCATGCTGTTTTAGAAGAACATTCACTGTGAACTGTGGTAGAAAATGCTAATGGAGGATTTGGGGCCAGCCATGTCTGCATTCTACCTAGGCCAGTCATCTCGTCCATGTTATGGGGGAACCAACCATCTGAGACAGCTGATTAAGAAGTAACAAACCAGACAGGCCCTACCTAAAATCCCCATGTAGCTTGTCTGAAGTAATAGTTCTGTTCTGAGACAGTGAGAAAGTGGGATCATGCATGTGTTTAGCATTATTTTAGTTGAAACTTACTGGTTTTCAAATTTGCTTAGATGGAGTTGCCTTTTTCAGTTATGGAAACAAAGTACCTTCCTGTCATAGGAAGGTAAGTAAGTGTTCCGTCACTGGCTGAGAAGATTTGTCCCAGCCTCCTCCTTGAGAGACCCCAGGCATGCGCTCCACTCCCTTGCGTGGGATCTGTATCATTTCACTCTGCAGAGTGGTGTCACCTAATGAGTAATATGAGAGAGAGGAGTTCTGGGTTTCTGGCCTTGATCCTGCTGTGTGTTTGCAGAAGGTTTCAGGCCTGACCTCTTAGTATTTGCTTAGTTTCTTTTGAGACTCATTAAGGCCCCGTTACCCTGACTATCTTGGTACCAATAGTGGGTTTTGGCAGAGGCAGTCGCTGCTTTAGCAGAGGACTTGAGAGCAAGGTTAAGCATTTTATGTTGATGACTCTGGCAGAAAGCGGAGGCTCAGAGAATAGCAGGCCATGAGGGAAGAGAGAACAGGAAGAGGCACTTGTGATGGAGAATGGTAGAAAGAGCTCACACAGTACTGCTTTATGGGTGGTTTGGACTATGTAGAGGAATGCAGTGAGAAGAGCCGGGCTGTCCCTGTCTCCCACTGTCCAGGTCCCCAGATAACCAACGATGTTACTATTTTGTGTGCCCTTCTGGAGATACTCTATACCTGTAAGGAAATACACGGTCTTTATCCCCCTTATTTACACAGTGAAAGCATACACACTGTTATGTAAAATGCTTTTTCCCTGTTATGTTAGGAATTTTTCTGAATCAACATATAAACTGCTTATTCATTCTTTTTTAACAATTATATAGCATTCCGTTATATGAATGTATGATTTTTATCATATGAATTCTTACTTATTTTCAATCAGTCTCTATTGATGACCTTTTAGGTTACTTCTTTCTTTTGCTATTGCAAATAACGTTGCCATGAGTAATCTTGTAAAAATGATGTTTAACACATGTGCAAATATATCTGTATGGTAAATTCCTGAAAGAATTGCAGGAGCTAAGATAAATCTTGCCAAATTACTCTAATTATAGAGCCTCTATCCATTTATGCTTCTACCATGACTGAGAGAGGACCTCTTTCCTCTTCACCTTTACCCATATAATGTGTTATGAAACTTTGGTCTTTACTGATCTGATAGGTTAAAAAAATACCATGGGGGGGAGGAGAGGAGGCTTGATTAGTTCCCACCTGTCAGGTACAATGTAGGGGTATATGGCACGCTTCCTGAGTGAAGGACTCAGCTACAACTCAGACTTTGGACTTTACCTTACAAATGAAAATAATGTAACCTCATTTGTGTGCACCCTCATATTAACCCATAATTTAAAAAATGGTATGTCACATTTAATTTTAATTTGCATGTCTCTTAGGCAAGGCTGAGTATTTTTTGATGTGTTTACCTTTTTTCATACAGTAGCATTCTAACCAAAGGTTTTCTGGTTGGAGTCCTTGGAAAACCATGCAGTGGAATATTCATAGAGAGGCAGAATGGCCCAATATTCCTAGGGAAGAAACACTCCAGAGAGATAGTCTGTAATTTCCGGAAGTTTTCCCAGCTCCGAAGCCCCGGGTGGTTGCCCTGGTTTGTGTAAAGTGAGTAAGTGCTGAGACCCCACGTTTATCACATTGTAACTGATGTTCCTTTATGGTCAAGAAAGCACTGATGATGATAAAATCGTCCAGTACCACTGGGAGGAACTGAAGGGGCCTCTGAGAGAAGAAAAGATTTCTGAAGACACAGCCATATTAAAACTAAGTAAGCTCGTCCCGGGAAACTACACTTTCAGGTAAATTAGGATTCACCTTCTTTAGGCCATTTTTTCCCTCTTTCATGGGCCTTACATGCTTACAGCAGTAACTCAGCAAATGCCAAATCACTGCGGAGCTGGTGGATAACATGGTCTTTGATTTTCTCTGGTGGTTGTTTTCACAGCAATGGTAACTTTTTAGGGCAAATGTGCTTGCATAGTAGATCAGAATTTGCCACAGTTAATCCTTCTCAAAGCCTTATCTGGCAGAGCTCTAAAAATATTTTAGGATTTCTGTCATTAAGTGAAAAGGCCCATCTTCCTTTGCCTTTTCTCAGGGAAAATCTCTAAGGAACTTACTCCCATTTTGTCTCTTCCCTTTGGAAAATGCTTTCTCAACTTACGATACCTCCAAATCTTTACCATTGACTAGTGGTGTGTTTGAATATGATTTGTAGGATCTTTATGGGGGTTTTTTGAGGAAAAAAATATCTGTGGGAACTAGTGTTGGCATTCTAGATGTGATTGATAAGGCTCTGAAGCTGACTCGAGAGCAATCCTCATGTTTGCACAGTTGCTTGTATGTCATGAAGCACTTGCGCATGAATGTCATGGAAACATTGTATGTTACACTGAGGACAATGAGGCTTCTCTGAGGTCTCACAGCTGGAACTGACATGCAGATTTTCTAATCCTCACATCAGGGCTCATTCAACTTTACTTCTTCACTTGATCCATATGCATTTTGTTTCTGCGTCCTTGAATGCCCTTCTCAGTCTGTTGAATTCTGCCCATCCTAAGGACCTGCTCCATTTCCAGGAGTCTCTCAGAGATCCCTCCAGAGAGGAGAGAACATGACTCTGCTCTTGTCCTGTTTTGCTCATTGCCTCTCTGTGGCACCTACCATCGTATGACAACTTATTTGTGTATGTTTGTCTTCCCATGGACCTGAGATCAATCATGTTTTAGATGATGCTGAGGACACTAAAATGAGTGTCCTAGCACAGCACCTACCATATAAATTGAAGTTCTGATGTACAGCACTCCATTGGTTCAAGAATGAAAGAAAGGTAGCTGCCAATACAAGATTGGAGTCTTCTCACTGGCTTAAAATGGAAATTTGAGTTGTTTTTTTATCTTAGATTTCTAATATAGGAATTTTTCCATTTATAGAATTTAGCCTGGGCCAGGTCGATCCTTTTTAAAAATAGTGACAGTAATAACTAATATGTCTTAAAAATTTACTGTGCTAAGTACTATTGTGAGCCTTTTGCTTGCAGTATCTCATCTAATTCTTACAATACATATTACAGTTATTCTCATTTTACAGATTAGGAAATTTTGTCACAAAGAGATTAAGTAACTTGCCCAGGGTCACACAACCAGGCTAGTTCCAGAGTCTGAGCTTTTAACTGCAATGTTGGCCTACAGTTCTTAGGTGAGTAGGGTAATAAGAGTGATTCTTTACTCCTGGGCCTCGATTTTTTAAGTCAGTGAAATGATGGGATTGGATTTGATTTAGTATTAAGGTCTAATCTGGCAGGATTCATGCACCTTTTCCTCTCTCCTACCTTTCATGGCAGTATTTGCCTTCCCCAGCCCTGTCACTAGCTGCTGTTTGCTTCCAGGATCCTGACAGGCCAGCCAGGGCTGTTTGAGATGAAAGTCAGAGTAATGGGCAGCTGCCACTTTGCCATTTGTATATAACTTGCTTTTGTTCTGACATAGGAGATGTGTGAGATATATTTGAAAAAATACCACCCAAACCCTGTAAAAAACAGCAGGGAAACTAGGAAAAGAGACAAAACATCTGTGAGTTTTTCTTTTTCAGATATTTGCTGATTTTTTCACTTATGTGTATCTAAAGTTTTTATACCTTTTTTCTGAAGGTTACAATACCAGAAATCTCTTTCATATCATAGGTAAAAGGTGAGATTGTGAGATAAAACCCCACAGATGTCTGGCTCTGACAGTGGCTGGTGTGAGATTTAAACAGCCTGCACGTCTTTTCTGTGCTTTCCCTCCTCCTGTCAGCAAAGTGGAAGGATCCCAAAGCTCCTAGCTTGCTTATGCTCACATTGCGAGGTGGCATGAGAAGCTTTAGGCTGTTCAGCTGGAAGGCATCATTTAGGTAAAAGCTTGCTCTTATAAATGAACATTTTTTCTCTTGCAAATCCTATGTCTCACTGGCACAAACTGTGGGCATGTTGCGTAGGAGACTTCATTTTCATCTCAAGCTCCTGCCTTCCTGAAGCCAGCCCTCCTGGTTCGTCCCAGGGGCTGTCTGCCCAGGATGTCCATTCTGATGATATATGTACAGCTGAAACAGGATGATGTGAGGACAGCCTGCCACCAACAGAGCTTGCTCTATTTAGTGTAGTGTCTTCAAACTCCACAAGAATAGGTACCAGGAAGTACTTAAGACTTGTCTTCTAAGCCTTGGGATCAGAGCACTGGTCTTGCATCTTGGCTCATTGGGTAGCCCTGAGTGTGTTACTTAGCCTCTCTAAGCCTCCTATGAAGTGGAATTGATGATCTCTTGCTCCCTGTGGTTGTTATGAGGGCCCTCCAGACAATGCTGTAAATTGTAAATTATAAAGCTTATAATGCTTATAAAGGTCTCAGCACACGGATGCACACAGGCAGCAGAGCAAAAGGGGGCTGGAGACCAAGGCCTGGATTCAGAACCTGACGCCAGTGCTTTCAAGCTGTATGACCTTGGGCAAGTTATTTTACCCCTCTTTGTCTTGTTCTCCTTAATATGTAAGGCGCTAAGTGAAGATACACTATATAAAGCTGTTGTGAAGATTTAATGAGATGTAAAGCACTCAGTACCTGGCATGTGAACCTTCAGTTAACATTAGCTTCTAATAGCACTTTTCTGCCTTCCCAATAAGAATGTGTAAGAATGGGTAACCTTGCTCTCTTTGTATTTATTAACCTGGATTTTCAGGTCTTTGGTATTTATTCTTCTTTCCTTAAACCCATCACTGACTGCATCCCTCTCTCTGCCCTGATAGCTTGACTGTGGTAGATTCCGATGGAGCTACCAACTCTACTACTGCAAGCTTGACCGTGAACAAAGCTGTGGATTACCCTCCTGTCGCCAACGCAGGCCCCAACCAAGTGATCACCCTGCCCCAAAACTCCATCACCCTCTATGGAAACCAGAGCACTGATGATCACGGCATCACCAGCTATGAGTGGTCACTCAGCCCAAGCAGCAAAGGGAAGGTGGTGGAGATGCAGGTAGGAGGTTCCTTTCTTTTCTTGCCCAGGGGAAGCAGAGCTGCCAGACGGGGTCACCAGCTCTACTCCATTTTAATTACCAAAGTCACATTTTTACATAGAATATTTAGATTAAAAAAAAATCCAGAAGGTTTTAGGGGCCTTTGATTAACATGTTAGCAAAAATGTCTTATCCTTATAGTGTGTAGTATTAAAGGAAAAGGTAGATAAGAGAAATGTTAGTTGTTCTGGATGATTCCAGAGAGTCAAACTATTTAGAATCTGTAAGAGTTTCAATCTTAGCTCTGTTGCAGGTTGGAGTAGATTGTCGGACTAGTTGGTGTATCTTCTCTCTGGAGAGATTTGAGAAGGGACTGTAGATCTATCACCAAGCAGGTAGCATAACTGAAGAAAGCCGGATGGGAGCCATGCTAAACCAGAGAGCTTAAATCCTGATCAGAGGGGTGATGTATTCTTCAGGTCCAGCTTGTTATGCTACATGGAAGTATTGTCCCAATATTGCTTGATAATCCGGATTTTATTTATTTTTTTATTTTTGAGACAGAATCTCCCTTTGTTGCTGTTGGTAGTGTGCTGTGGCATCAAAGCTCACAGCAACCTCAAACTCTTGGGCTCAAGTGATCCTCTTGCCTCAATCTCCCTTGTAGGTGGCACTACAGGCGCCTGCCACAAGCCCTGGCTGTGAAAATTTCCAACTTTTAAGACACTATAGGCCAAGCAAAATGTCTGCAAACTGGATTCAGTCCACAGGCTGCCAGTTTTGCCCACTGTTCTACAGGAAGTTCCTGCATTAGAAGTTTGCCCTAAATTATTTATAATGTTCCTTCTGATACTCAAGATTCTACATTTCTAGATTTCAGGCATGACTTGAAGTTTGCCCTAAATTATTTATAATGTTCCTTCTGATACTCAAGATTCTACATTTCTAGATTTCAGGCATGACTTGAAGTTTGCCCTAAATTATTTATAATGTTCCTTCTGATATTCAAAATTCTACATTTTTAGATTTCAGGCATGACTTAAAGCCCACATTTTACCTGGCTTTAATTTAAGCATTGTCTTAGGTTTTTCTGTTGTTGCAGAATACGTACAGACCTGTAAGGGGACAGCATGGTGTTAGAGCATCTTGAATTACTTCCATGTTTCACTGAGACAACTCGGGTGGGATCGCTGTGTACCCTCAGTAGGAATAGTGTTTTAAAAACTGGGTCATTTTATTATATGTTCATGGTGTCCTTTCTGGTTTCAGTCATAAAGACTGAGCTTGGTAATCTCTGCACATTTTCCCATATTCCCTTCTCCTCTGAGAGCTCTGGCTTTATTTTTATTTTAATCCTAACTGCTGCTGTGTCAGGAAGCATTGTTCCTTTGGAGGGGGAAACTTACAGCAGTGTGTCTCATGATGTCTGATTCAACATTCACTAATTCTGCTGAACTGGAAGATGATAGTCCAGTATTCAGAAAACTGGTTAAATTGTTTCTACCAGAGTTGAAATTATTGTGTGATGTTGTGGTTCTAGGAGTCGACTCTTCCCCTTCTGTATTTATATATGTAGGGCGTTAGAACACCAACCCTGCAGCTCTCTGCAATGCAAGAAGGAGACTACACTTATGAACTCACAGTGACTGACACAATAGGACAGCAGGCCACTGCTCAAGTGACTGTCATTGTGCAGCCTGGTAAGCTCCAGCCCTGTGGTTCAGGCTCTTTTATTGGCCTTGGGTTCTGAGTTTATGAATATAGAACCAGTCCATAGAGACTTGGGTGACTTCTGTTTTCCCCTCCACTGTGCTTTCTTAATAGCTAATGTGTATTTCCCAGCCTTAGCGGGTGCCTTTCCCTTGGCTAGTTATTGTGCCTTTGAGGGGACCTAGGAGTATCCAACTTGTGGCCCTCTGACCGCGTGCTAATTTTGTGAGGACTTGTTTTGCTTATCTGTGTTTTTTGTTTGTTTGTTTTTGAGACAGTGTCTCAACCTATAGCCCTGAGTAGAGTACCATGGCATCATAGCTCACAGCAACCTCCAACCCTTGGGCTCAAGCAATCCTCTTGCCTCAGTTTTTCTATTTTTAGTAGAGACAGGGTCTTGCTCTTGTTCTTACTCAGAGCCTTGAACTCGTGAGCTCAGGCAATCCGCCCGCCTTGGCCTCCCAGAGTGCTAGGATTATAGGTATGAGCCACTGCACCCAGTCTTTACTGTGGTTTTGATATCACGAAAAGTATACATGGACTTCTTTTTGCTGCTAAGCTTTTGTTAGTGTTTGTGCATGTAGTGTGTGGCCCAAGACAACTCCTATTCTTCCAAAATGTGGCAGAGAAAAATAAAAGGTTGTACACACCTGATGCCATTCCAAACCCTACCATGTCCTTTAATGACTTGCTTAAAACTCCCCTCCTCAGGAAAGCCCTGTCTTATCAAACTCTGATTTCAACTATTACAGCGTTAGATTTCAAATGTAGTGTGGCATTATAACTTCATTACATTCTGCTGCGTTTCTTTCAGAATTGTTTCAGTCTTACTTATATTCTTCATTGAGAGCCCCCAGATGGTAACCAGCTCTCCCATAGTATCTGACAGTTTTGTGGACTGAAAGGCAGAGTGCCGGTGGCTGCCAGATCACATGTCTCAATTGGTTCCTCTCCTTTTCCCACCTGGACTGGCTGCTTCTGACTTCCAAATCTCTGTCTTTTAGAAAACAACAAGCCTCCTCAAGCAGATGCAGGCCCAGATAAAGAGTTGATCCTTCCTGTGGACAGCACAACCTTGGACGGCAGCAAAAGCTCAGATGATCAGAAAATTATCTCATACCTCTGGGAAAAAACACAGTGAGTCTTGACACCAAATCATTATTTATGCAAAGCCCCTGGAAGAACAAAGTTTTATTCGCTTAATTTTATTTATTTATTTATTATTTTTAAAGTGACAGAGCCTCACTTTGTCACCCTCAGTAAGAGTGCTGTGGTATCATAGCTCTCAGCAACCTCAAACTCTTGGGTGCACGAGATCCTCTTGACTCAGCCTCCCAAGCAGCTGGGACTAAAGGCTCCCACCACAATGCTCAGCTAGTGTTTCTATTTTTAGTAGAGATGGGATCTCTCTCTTGCTCGGCTGTTCCCAAACTCCTGAGCCCAAGCAATCCTTTTACCTTAGCCTCTCCAAGGACTAGGATTACAGGCATGAACCACTGTACCCAGCCTGTTTTATTTGCTTTTAAAAGTTGGCTTGTCGGGCAGTGCCTGTGGCTCAGTGGGTTCAGTGCCAGCCCCATATACCGAGGGTGGCAGGTTCAAACCCGACCCCAGCCCAACTGCAACAAAAAATAGCCAGGCATTGTGGCAGGTGCCTGTAGTCCCAGCTACTTGGGAGGCTGAGGCCAGAGAATCACCTGAGCTCAAGAGCTGGAGGTTGCTATGAGCTGTGACACCACGGCATTCTACCGAGGGCGATGAAGTGAGACTCTGTAAAAAAAAAAAAAAAGTTGGCTTGTCTTACTGACTTATATGTGGGAGTGACTGAGGAAGATATACAAATATATATGTATGTATTTTGAGACAGAGTGTTACTTGGTCACCCTTGGTAGAGTGCCATGGTGTCTTAACTCATAGCAACCTTAAACTCTTGGGTTCAAGTGATCCTCTCTCCTCAGCCTCCCGAGTAGAAGGGACTACAGGCACCCACCACAATGCCTGGCTATTTTTTAGAGACAAGGTCTCACTCTGGCTCAGGCTGGTCTCGAACATGTGAGCTCAAGCAATCCACCCACTTTGGCCTCCCAAGTGCTGGGATTATAGGCATGAGCTACCATGCCCAGTCTAATTCTATGAAAATAATATAAGTAATTTACATAAGACAAAAAGAATGCTTGCAGGCTGGGCCCAGTGGCTCACTTCTATAATCCTAGCACTCTGTGAGGCCAAGGTGAGTGGACTGGTTATTGCTTGAGCTCAGGAGTTTGAGATCAGCCTGAACAAGAGTGAGACCCTATCTCTACTGAAAGTAGAAAAACTAGCTGGGTATAGTGGCACACACCTATAGTCCCAGCTACTCAGGAGGCTGAGGCAAGAGGATAGCTGGAGACCAAGAGTTTGAGGTTGCTGTGAGCTATGATGCCATGGGACTCTCGACCCAGGGTGACAGAGTGAAAATCTATCTTAAAAAACAAAAAATAATAATAATGATGCTTGCCATCAGTTAAGTCATCAGGTAGAACTGCGTGATCCTGATGCTTTTGGGTACCATCCAGCTGCTGAAATGCATAGTTTAATTATACTTGAGAGGCAGGAGGGAAGGGGTAACGAAGCAGAAAAATACTGTTGCTCAAAATTAACTGGGTGAGGCTGGCAGTGGGGGGATAGTACAGAACAGCTATTAAAAGGAATTGAAAATACATCTATAAAATGAAGACATTGCTCTGTTATCGTTTCCTTGAAGATACCATTTACCAATTCAGTTAGACAGAGGCCAAAGGCAGTAACAAAAATAATGCTAATTAAACTGAAATTACCTGACTGAACCATTACTGGTTCTCACAGTTTGTTTCAGCTCCTTTAAACCATAACAAATGGGACTTACATTACATGCAGGATCCCATAGGAAGCAAGAGAATTACAAAGGAGAGTTAAAAGCATTCTCAATTTCCAAAGGTAGCAACAGTAAGACAGGCTGGGTTTTTTTTTAATTTTTTAAAAATTTTCCACTGAGGCATTAGAGATGGATGGAAAGGGGCTTTGATTTGACTATAGAAACTCCTTGACTTATGATTGCTGAGTTGGATTCTAGAAATTATTTCCCTTGGCTCTTGTTTCTGTCTTTTGAAGAACATAATCTTCCTCAGGCCAGAGTGTCTTAATTATGATTGTGTATTGAAGATATGGCTGATAAGCCTTCCAGCTGTGTGTTATTAGTGTCTACTGCAGAGACAATGCTTGGCATAGCTTCCTGGACAATCTGTTTCAGGAAGAGCCGCTAGAGTCAGATGTTATCAGTTTGAAAAGTAAAACAAAGCAAATTCTGGATGTCTGCGGATTTCTCTGGCTGTCCTGTAGTTTTAAGGAAAGCTTAGAGGCATTTTGATCCTTGAGCAGAAGGGCTCTCTGGTTGTTACAGCCTTGTGCCTGGGTGTTGGTGCAGGGCTCACTGCGCTGCTTCACGCTGCTCTCTGAGGCCACTGACAGAGGAAGGAGGTGAGGGCTCCTCGGTCCTCTGTGGCATCTGTCCAGGAGCAGGAGGGAGCTTTGCTTATAGAGCCAAGAGGATGATTTTGTGGCCCATTTCCTTCCCTTGACTTTTCATCAAGAGGGATTTGGGCGTGTGATTAAGAATGCATTTTGCGGCTCAGCGCCTATAGCTCAACCGGCTAAGGCGCCAGCCATGTACACCTAAGGTGGCGGGTTCGAATCCCCAGCCCGGACCCACCAAACAACAATGACGGCTGCAACCAAAAAATAGCCGGGCGTTGTGGCGGGCGCCTGTGGTCCCAGCTACTTGGGAGGCGGAGGCAGGAGACTCGCTTGAGCCCAGGAGTTGGAGGTTGCTGTGAGCTGTAATGCCAGGGCACTCTGCCCAGGGGGACAGCTTGAGGCTCCGTCTCAAAAAAAAAAAAAAAAAGAATGCATTTTGCTTCTTTGCTGGCAAGGGTTGAACCAACTCTTGGGCCAGAAATGCTTTTTAGAAACATCACTCTTAAATCATTCTTTTGATTAGAGACCTGCTTAGAGAACTTTCTTCCTTTTACAAACTAGAACAGTAAAGAGTTCAAGTGTTCTAGAAGCTCGTATAAAGGATAAGGATAGATGTGTTTGAAAGCTGGTGAACGGAATTTTCTGACCAGCAGGTAGCCTGTATTTGGGGGCCAAATAATACTTTGTTCAAAAGGAATATTTTTAAACATTTCCTGTCACGGTCTGGGAAACAATAGTTCACATCTCAGCGAAGGTGATAATTGTCTCCTCCCGCTGAGTCAAAGATGGGAGAGCTGCAGACAGGTGCAACTCCACCTCTGGTTTCTCTCTGTCTAGGGGACCTGCCGGGGTGCAGCTTGAGAATGCGAACAGCAGTGTTGCCACTGTGACTGGGCTTCAAGTGGGAATCTATGTGTTCACGTTGACTGTCAAAGATGAGAGGAACCTGCAAAGCCAGAGCTCCGTGAATGTCATTGTCAAAGAAGGTACCTCTTTGCCTGGGGTTGGTGCAGCAGCCTCTCCCTGTCTGGGTCAGATAGCTGAGGATTTGTCAGGTCTTATTTGACTGCAGAAATTGATTCCAGACAACAAGAGTTAGAGAAGAATGTTGGGGGTGAGGGCAGCTGTTAATTTTCTTTTAATTGAGATTGACTGTAGGTGAATTTTCATTTCCCTCCTTCCTTCCCCTTTTCTTCCTGTCCTTACTTCCCCTCCCCCTACTCCTCATTTCCCCCTCTCTCTTTCCCTCCTTCTCTTTCTTACTTTTTTTCATAATTAAATAGGGAAAGAATTAAGATTCTTTTTCTTTCCATTTTAAATTTGCCCCTGTGCTGCCAAGACCTGGAGTTTGTGACTCTCCTGCTGGCTATAGTGACACCTGCTGTCAGACCTTAGAATGACTGCTGCACTGCAGCTGCCTGTGCTTATCCTTTGAGCCTGCAAGCTGAGGCCAATTTGGAGAGAAGAGTTGACAGGTCTTGCTCTGGTCTGTAGCCAGGGTGACCACTGAGGGCCTTGGGAGAAGGCCCTAAGCTGATGGGGGGAAAACCAGATATGTAGGTGACTTTAAACACAGCTTCAAGTGGGGCCCAGAATAAGAGCGGTCTATCTCCCTTTTCTCTTTAAAATACCAATGAAAAAATTTTAAAAAATATTCTGAGGGTAACATTTTAAGATGTTTCAAATGAGAATTTGAGATATCAGCTAGATAAAACCTGAACTCCAAAGCTTTCAGCCACTTTGGGCCTTTGTTTCCATATACTTCCCAAATACAAGGATGGATTTCTTCTGTGAAAGTTGCTGTGAGAAAAACATACTGGTCCCTTTACTGTGTGGTGTCAGGGAACACGTCTCTGGGTAGGTGGGGGCCTCAGGACTGCAGCACTGGCAGCTTTAAATCTGTATTGCATAGGTTCCTATAACAGTTCTCCGTTGAAGATGCTTTTGATGTGCGATTTCCCTATAAGCATTACGAAGAAGCATTTCTTTTTTTGCAGAATGGTGCATTATTTCAATGATTTCTCTTTTGTTAGAAATGAACAAACCACCTATAGCCAAGATAACTGGGACTGTGGTGATTACCTTGCCCACAAACACAGCAGAGCTGGACGGTTCCAAGTCCTCAGATGATAAGGGAATAGTCAGCTACCTCTGGACTCGGGATGAGGGGAGCCCAGCTGCAGGCGTAAGTGCACCAGGAGTGGGGAAGCTACACGAGGTCTAATTGGCAAGATGGGGGGAGGTGGAGGAGCTGAGCATTCAGTGTCTGTTTTAACCAAGTGTTAGCTGAATGCTCCATGTATTATACCTGGATTGTTTTCTGAAATCCAAGGAGGTTAAGTGACTTTCTCATGATCATCCTATAAGCTAGTGTGGCTCAGGGTGGGTTTCTCTCCCTGTCCTAACAGCTGTGGGCTGTAGTGCTGCAGCAGAGGAGGCACTGTCCAGCCCAGAGTGGCTTAGTTATAGCAAAAGCAGTGACGGACTCCAAGAAAGGGGTGGTGTCTTTTTATGTGACATAACCCTATTGTTCAATCCTACAGGAGGTATTAAATCACTCTGACCATCACCCTATCCTCTTCCTTTCCAACCTGGTTGAGGGAACCTACACATTTCATCTGAAAGTGACCGATGCAAAGGGTGAGAGTGACACAGACCGGACGACTGTGGAGGTGAAACCTGGTGAGTGCATCTGCTAAGAGACCTGAGTGAAATTGCTGGGTCAGCTAATCAGGGAGTCATTCTTGAGACCCCTTTCCCCCAGCATGAGCAGAGCTAAATGGTATGTCCAGCTTTTTGAAAAAAGTCTAGAAGCTCAGTGCCTGTAGCTCAGTGAGTAAGGTGCCAGCCACATACACAGAGGCTGGTGGGTTCAAACCCGGCCTGGGCCTGCTAAAGAAAAATGGCAACTGCAACCAAAAAATAGCCGGGCGTTGTGGCGGGCACCCTGTAGTCCTGGCTGCTCGGGAGGCTGAGGCAAGAGAATCGCTTAAGCCCAAGAATTTGAGGTTGCTGTGAGCTGTGATGCCATGGCACTTTACCGAGGGCAACATAGTAAGACTGTCTCAAAAAAAAAAAAAAAGAAAAAAATCGAGAAACCTCAAGCTGAAATATCCTTAAGGAACTGTTTCAATAGTACCCCTCTACCCATGCAGGAATAAGACCTCTTCTGCCCATGCAGATGGAGAAGGCCACTCAGAGAGGGCAGGGCTTGCTCAGTATCACATAGCCGTCGTATCAGAGCCAGGCCTTCGTGCCCCAGTCCAGCACTCTCCTTTACACGTGACTGATGAGAGGGCTCAGGGTGCTTTGGGAATCTGAACACAGGAATAGCTTGAGTCATGATGTCTCATCAGCACCCAGATGCAGAAAACAATTTATTTTTATAAGTTGAGCCTCAGGCTTTATCTGACAACCCAGGGAAGGTAAAGTAACTACTGTCCTTTACATTTTCAGATTTGCAGAAATAAAATTTCCTTCTTAAATAGAACCATGTTTTTGTTTTGCTTTGAGACTAATTTGGTGAGAGGAAGGAACTGAGTGTGGAGGTGGGGTTGAGTTTATAAATTCTTGACCTTCTAATGAGAAGGTATTAACTTTAAATCTCCTCTGTTATCTAGCCCAAGCTCATCTAGCCCCACCTTTGATGGGGTCTCGGGAGGCCTTCTGGTCCTTGTCCTGCCTCTGGGAATGATAAGAGCTGAGACATTGGGAAGTCTTTTCCATGTTTAAAGTCAGATCATAGATAGTCTACTAATTATGTATTATACATCAGAGCAGGCAAATGGTGCATTCAAGTATGTAAATAAGGCATTCTGAACAATCAGTTTGAAATTCCAAATATAGCGGAGTCCTAGGGCACATTTGAAAGTAAAGCACGATGGTCCCAGTTTTAGAGTCATACAGAGACAGTGCAGCTGTGACGCAGTTCTGAGGAAGCCTTGTTTCTCGGCTGCCTGGATTTTCTTTGTGTTTACTGTATTTAAACCTGTAGGGACCGATGTATTCCCATTATTAAGAAGATTGTTGAGATGGACATTTTTCCTGTCACTGTTGTAGACAAAGTACAGCAAGTCACTGAAAATCAGATGTGAGTCAGGAGAAATTACTTGATACCCCACTTGGCCTGGATGCTCAGCAGTGCAGTTGTGCAGAAGCTTTTAAAACAAATGCTTTTAAGTGTTTCTGCCTCCCCTGCTTTCTCTTCAGCACCTCCCCCCACTGGCCTCATCCTCAGTGTATGTGGGAATTCTCAGATTGGAAGCTTTAAGCTTTCCAAGCCAGCCCCAGATTACCTTCTTGGGAATTCGCTGTTGTCCCTTTCCCCTTGATGGATGTCTGAATGCTCTCACTACTTTCTCTCCTGTGCTGACACAAAGGCACAATGGCAGGTCTGTGTTAACTTTCCTACTTCTAAAGCCATGACTGATCCACATGCTTTCCAGATCCCAGGAAAAACAACCTGGTGGAGCTCATCCTGGATGTCAACGTCAGTCAGCTAACTGAGAGGCTGAAGGGGATGTTCATCCGCCAGATTGGGGTCCTCCTGGGGGTGCTGGATTCCGACATCATTGTGCAAAAGATTCAGCCCTACACGGAGCAGAGGTAGCTGGGCAATGAATGGGGAGAGAAAAGGAAAGACCAGGGTTCTCCTGGGTTTCTTGATTAAGCCAAGGACTAGTGTGGCGAGGTGGAGATGGGTGGGCTCTCCGAGCAAGAACTGCTCATAGTGTCCATGTCTCTGATGTCCTTCCCCTCTAGTGCAGGCGACATGTTCCTACTGGACACTGCGGCCGGCCTCCAGGGTACAAAGTCAGAGGAACTTCACTATTTTTGAAGGCCCCAGGCCAGGAGGGGAGATGATCAAGTGAACAGTACGTCGGTACAGGACGGTACTGCAGTGTGTGCCACTGGGGCAACCCTGAGCAAGGGCAGCTGATTCTTCATCAGCGTTTGGGGTAGGCATAGGCCAGAGATTTTCTAAAAGAAGGAAATCTTGCATTTACCGGCACAGGAGGACCAGGAGGAAACTCAGAAAAGGGGAAGCACATGAGGCCCTGTGGCATGGGAGTGCAGGGTTTCTCCTGGGAGTCATTGGCTTCAGAGCCCCAGGATGTGATAGAAGACAAGGCTGCCCATATGCAAACCGAGGAGTTTAGTTTTACCAGTTGGGTAGAAGGACCCAAGTTTGTTTGGTATGTGTGAAGTGTGAAGTTTTTGTTTGTTTTGTTTTTAAAGCAAGGAAATTCCATAGTTTTTTTTTTTTTTTTAAGGGAGATCAGTAGTGTGGAGGTTAGACTAAACTGGGGATAGATTGAAGACTGGGAAACCAAGCAGAAAGCCTCTCGGGAGTCTGGTAGAAAGGTGACAAAACCTGAATTAAGGTAGTGGCAGAAGAAGAGAAGAAATTAAAAGCACTTCAGAGGTAAAGCAGCAGGATTTGAGGGCCCTGGAGGAGTAGAGGTCAGTGTGGCATTAAATGTGAGGCCTTTGGTTTGGACGCCTACGTGGGTGGTTCAGGCCATTAGCTGAGATGTGGCAGGCAGAAGGAGCCGATTTCAGCGACTGAATTTGGAGATTCTTAGGAGTTTCCTGGGGAGATGTTCCATCAGATATGCAAGTAAAGGCTGGACTTGGGGTGGAAGAAAGAGCTCAAGATCATAAGTGCTGCCTAGAGCCGTGAGGACAGGTGAGTCACCCCGGGAGAGTGCTGAGAAGGGTGAGGACAGAATTCTGGAGAGCACCATTATTTAAGGAGGAGGCAGAGAAAGGAGAGGTAGCGAGGGAAACTCAGAATACCAGTCAGAGAAGTGGGAGGACAGCTGGGAGTGGTCTGCTGGGCGTGAAGCCGTGACCCAGCAGTGGGGGTGGCCCCCGGATTTAGGTGCTACAGGGGCAGGGGTGGGGTGAGACACAGAACAGGCCTTTGGGTTTGTAATCAGCAGACCATGAGAATGTAGTGAGAGCATTTTTATGAGGCTAGTGGGGGCAGAAGACAGATTTCACAGTTTGAGGATATACAGAGATGGCAAGTATAATACCTCTTTCAAAAAGCTGGTGCCAAAAATAATGTGAGATAGGTCAAAAGAACACGTTTTAAAGAAGGAAATTCTTGAGCATCTGTATAGACTGAGGGGAATGTGCAGAGGGGTAAGGAGGTGGTAGAGGTTGGGGAAGGATAAATGAGGGCAGGTTTGGGAGGCTGGCCAGGTCCGAGACATGAGGCGAGGGCATGGTTCTCAAGTCTAGCCACACAGTAGAATTACTTGGAGCTTTTATGAACTTAGCATTGCCCAAGCTGCATCCAGTTAATCTGGAGTGGCACCTGGGCACCTCAACCATAAAGGCTCCCAGGTGAATTTAACATGTAGTCAGGATTCATCAGGTCAGAGGCAGCATGATGAGGACTTTTTTATAAAGCTATTCTCAGTGACCTGGGAGTGGGAATGGGGCTAATGGCTGCTTGGGTTGCTCTACGTTGCTGGGAATTGGCTGGGTAGAAGCAGCAGAAAGAGGTTAGCAGAAGCTCTGGTAAGAACGCTGCTGATGGATTTGCTCAGATTTGCCATCACTGCATATGGGGCACGAGGAAGAAGGAGGCATCTCAGTTTCTCTTGGCTTCTGGCTTGGACAGGATTGACTTAGTTGAGGAATTCAGGAGGAGCATGAGCTTGCCCTGGAGAGGAAGACCAGCTTGCCCTGGAGAGACCCAGCTTCTAAGCCCTGTTCCACCAGTGTTAACTCTATGACAGAGACTCTACTTCTCCTTTTTGAACCTGTGAAAGTACTGGTGCTTATCTATAGAATGTTATTGAGGACTAAATAAGATAATTTTGTATAGTCCCTAACATACAGTTTTCAGTGAATGGTTAGTATTATGAGTTTATTTTGAGACATGTTGGATTTGAGGCACTGTAGAAGATCTGGGATAGACACCTTTGCCATCATTTGCAAATACAGATTGGTCACTTGGGAGAGATGTGAGGAGAGGAGATTTGAGAGTTACTGGTAAGCGTCCTATAGGCAGAAGCTGAAACTATGAGCATGGATTAGGTGACTAGGAGAAAAGGATGGGAAATGGACCAAAAATCTTTTATGCCAAAGGTTTATTTTTTGATTCTAGACCATAAGAATACCCTGTTGTTAGTCTCACTATGCAGCAAGCTCTCAAAGTCTGTACCAGTGCTTCCAAACTTTTATGTCATGCCACATATAGAAAATGATGCTATTTATATGGCACCTTGGGATAAACAGACAAGGCTACTTATAATGCAGGCAACTGGTCCAGGGTCTCCAGATACCCAGAGCCCACTCAGCTGTGCTGCATACTGAGGGGATCAATACCCTGGGCCCGCTAATAAACCAGAGCAACTCACTGACTGAGAAGGTTCTGTTTATGAGACTAACGTGGAGCTCAAGAAGCAGGCTACCAAAAATGAAGACTAACGCATAGAAGATGTATTTTGTGCTACCCAGATGTGAGTTCAAACATGGTCTGTCTGGGGACAAAATTGACAGTGACAGAGCAAACATTCCGGGCACAGAGTAGTAGAATTTTGTATCAGCCATACCATTGTGCAGGGGCTTCATTTTTTGCTGTTGTAATACCGGGAACAACCATTTTGGCTGTGTTTTGACCTATGGATAATCTCTGATGCTGTCCAACAATTTATATTTACAAAGCACTATGGTTTGTCTGATAAGTAACCCAGGCAGCACCACTGTCTTAAAAGACTGATGACTGGGGTGTAGCTTTACCAAAGCCCTGTTTTTCTCGTCCTCCAATTAGCTATTTGGGACAGTTCCTCTTGTTAGCTGGGGCAGTTTTGAGCATTTGTCAAAGAATAGGCTTTGGAGTCAGACGTCACAGGGTTGGGTTCTGGCTCTGCCATAAACAACTATGTGACCTTGGGCAAGTACTTAACCCCTCTGACCCCAGGGTTGTCTTTTGTAACCTGGCGGCAACACTGACACCACCTTCTTGCTGGCTTGTGGTGACAGAATGCGTCTGATACTCAGCACAGTGTCTGACACAGCAGAGGAGTTAGGAAATGGTAGTGCCGCTGTGGATGGCTTCAGCTTACCCCTCCTATTGCATGTCTCTGCAGCACCAAGATGGTTTTTTTCGTTCAAAACGAGCCTCCTCATCAGATCTTCAAAGGGCATGAGGTGGCAGCGATGCTCAAGAGTGAGCTGAGGAAACAGAAGGCCGACTTCCTGATATTCAGAGCCCTGGAAATCAATACTGTCAGTGAGTAATTCTGGGAAATTGGGAGTGAGAGCCTGCCTCGTGCCTGCCATGGACTGTCACTCCTTACTGCCGTTGACCTTCATCTCCCTTTCTCTGGGAATGTGAAAATAGTCATTTTCCTCCATTACTGTTATCACAAAAGCATCCTGACTCATCAGAGGGATTCTTAACCTAGGGCCCACGGGCCCCAAGATGTCACTCAGAGCTCGAGTGGGGAAACGTTGCATCCTTATTTTCTCTGACCTCTAACTAAAATTCGTTATTTCCCTGGATGATGAAGGTAGGCTACAATACTACAGTAATATTAACCTATGAATTTGAGGCAATAGAAATCACAAATTACATATCAATTTCATCTCATATTACATAATAAAATATGTATCATTTTTACTCATCACTACTTCAAAATTAATGATAGTTGTTAGACCCACTTCCAGCTCTTGTTACTTAATGAGGCAAGAGGATCACTTGGGCCTAAGAGTTGGAGGTTGCTATGAGCTAAGACACCACGACACTCTACCCAGGGCAACAGCTTGAGACTCTGTCTCAAAAAAAAAAAAAATTGTTTATTCTACTTAACTGTATTTTTGTGCCCATTAATCATCCCCCACTTGCTGCTATCCTTCCCGCCCTCTGCTAACCGTCATTCTATTCTCTGTCTATGTGAGATAAATTGTTTTTAATGTTTAGCTCCCACGGATGAGTGAGAACATGTGAGATTTGTCTTTCTGTGCTTGACTTATTTCACTTAACATAATATTCTCCAGTTCCATCCATGTTGTTGCAAATGGCAGGATTTCATTCTTTTGTGGCTGTATAATCTCCCATCACGTATATGTATTTTCTTTATCCCTTCGTCTGTTGTTGTATACTTCGGTGGATTCCCTGTCTTGGCTGTTGTGAATCGTGCTGCGGTAAATGTGGGGTATAGATACCTTTCTGAGATTCCCCTCCTTTGGACATATACCCAGCAGTGAGATTTCCGGGTTATATGGTAGTTCTATTTTCAGTTTTTTGAGGAGCCTCCATACTGTTCTGCAGAGTGGTTTCACTACTTTACATCTGCACCAACGGTGTCCCAGGGTTCCCTTTTTTCCACATCCTTATCAGCATTCGCTTTTGCCTTTTTGACAAAAGCCATTTTAACTGGGGTGAGATGATAATGTTATTATAGTTTTGATTTGCATTTCTCTGATGATATGTTGCTGAGCATTTTTTCGTTGGCCATTTGTATGTCTTCTTTTGTGAAATGTCTAGTCAGATCCTTTGCCCATTTTTATATTGGATTATTTCATTTTTTCCTATTGAATGATTGGAGCTCCTTATATGATTTAGTTATTGATCCATTATCATGCAGTTAATTTGCAAATATTATCTCCTGCCTCACTTTCCTTTGCTGTGCAGAAGCTTTTTTTTTCTTTTTTTTTGAGACAGAATCTCACTCTGTCACCCTCAGTAGAGTGCCGTGATGTCATAGCTCACGGCAACCTCAAATTCTTGGACTTAAGCGATTCTCTTGCCTTAGCCTCCCAAGTTGCAGGAACTACCAGTGCCTGCCACAATGCCTGGCTATTTTTTTTTTTTTTTTGGTTATAGTTGTCATTACTGTTTGGCAGGCCCAGGCTGGGTTCAAACCGGCCAGCTCCTGTGTATGTGGCTGGCGCCTTAGCCTCTGAGGTACAGGCGCCGAGCCAGATATAAGTCTTTAATCCATTTTGATTTGATTTCTGCATATGGTGAGTGATAAGGGTCTAGTTTCAATCTTCTGCACATGGCTACAACATATCCAATTCTCCCAGCACCATTGATTGAAGAGACTGTCCTTTCCCCACTGCATGTTCTTGGCAGGTTTGTTGAGCATCAGTTCACTACAGATGTGTGGATTTACTTCTAGGTTGGTCTGTGTGTCTGTTTTTATGCCAGTACCTGCTCTTTTGGTTTCTATAGCTCTGTAGTGTAATTTGAAGTCAGGTAATATGAGCCATCAGTTTTGTTCTTTAGCTCAGAATGGCTTTGGCTATTCTGGGTCTTTTGTGGTTCCATCGAAATTTAGGGATTTTTTTTTTTTTTTACATAAAGTACACAAAGTGTAAAAAGTGTGTATTTTTTTTTTTTTTGAGACAGAGTCTTACTATGTTACCCTCAGTAGAGTGCTATGGTGTCACAGCTTACAGCAAACTCAAATTCTTGGGCTTAAGCTATTGTCTTGCCTCAGCCTCCCAAGTAGCTGGGAATACAGGCGCCCACCACAACACCTGGATATTTTTAGAGAGGAGGTCTCACTCTGGCTCACGCTGGTTTTGAACCTGTGAGCTCAGGCGATCCATGCACTTCAGCCTCCCAAAGTGCTAGGTTTACAGGTGTGAGCCACCACACCTGGCCTGGGGATTATTTTTTTCTATTTTTGCGATTATAGTCTGAGAAAGGGATATTGTACATAAAAAATTAAGAATTGGTGATATAGAGAAACAAGTGAAGACACACTGAAGCATCCTTTCTCGCGGCCTTGGGCAGCACCTGTGGCTGTGGCTCAGTGGGTAGGATGCCGGCCCCATATACAAAGGGTGGCAGGTTCAAACCTGGCCCCAGCCAAACTGTAAGAACAACAACAAAAAAAAATAGCTGGGCATTGTGGCGGGTTCCTGTAGTCCCAGCTACTCCAGAGGCTGAGGCAAGAGAATCGCCTAAGCCCAGGAGTTGGAGGTTGCTGTGAGCTGTGTGACAACACAGCACTCTACTGAGGGCGATAAAGTGAGACTCTGTCTCTACAAAAATAAATAAATAAATAAAAAGGATTACTTCTTCGCAGCCTTGTAACTGTTCCAGTGACATCCCACTGTGATAATTATGGGCAACATGCCCAAGCTATGAGAGCTCTTGGGTGAGGCCTCCAGGAAATTTCAGCACCGAGCCTTGAGCACACGGTGCTTCAGTTTCCTCACAGGCCCTGGCTGCTGAGTGTCACCCGGCTCTAACTCTTATTGGCTTTTCCCCTTTCCTGTCACTTTCAGCATGTCAGTTGAACTGCTCTGACCATGGCCACTGTGATTCCTTCACCAAACGCTGTATCTGTGACCCTTTTTGGATGGAGAATTTCATCAAGGTACAGCTGAAGGACGGAGACAGCAACTGTGGTGAGTTTCTGCCTGGCACATTGCCAGCTGGCTTGGCACGGAATATAGTTCTGTGCTGTGTGGGTGGGTGTTGGTTGCTTCTGAGGCAGATGAGCAGGCGAGGAGAAGAACTTTGTGTATTTTCTGTTTGCAGAGGACTTTTCCTTCCTTCCTCCACACTTGCTCAAGGTTAGAGGAAAGCTCTGAAGCACTCGTGTAAGAAGAACCAGGCTTAAATCAGACCCATTGACAGTTGCAGCCCAAATCCAACCAACTGCAAGGTCTCCTGTCTCTTGGGTGCCTCTGCGCTTAGCCTAACGGAAGCCCTCAGCTCCCTCTCCTAAAGCTCTTTACAGCCTGCACCACTGCTGCAGGATCTCAGGGCTGGAGCAGGGACATGTCAAAAGACTTAAAGCCTCAGCTGCCCTTAACTCCAAGGGCTCACCTTCCTGGGGAGTCCCAGGGGCACTCTTGTCTCCAGAGTGAAACCGTCACCTGCCCGAGCTGGGGGGAGCCCAGATCTCCCTTCCACCCTCTCTTTTTATAACCCTCACTGTTTTGATTTTCTTGGCAGAGTGGAGCGTGTTGTATGTTATCATTGCTACCTTTGTCCTTGTTGTTGCCCTGGGAATCTTGTCCTGGATGGTGATCTGTTGCTGTAAGAGGTAAGATGGATTCTCCTTTAAAATTTATTGGGGTTTCTTGTCATATATTTTTTTCTCAAGAAAAAAATTGTCCACGTGGAAGGACCATGCTGGGTCCCCAGTCACTGTTAGAGTAGTTCAGCCCCACCAAGGCATACACTGGAAGGCTTTCCTCACCCCCACACCCTCCTTCAGTGTGAACATGGCTTGCGGGGTGGGAAGGTGCATGCAGGCCCTGAGGTGCAGACCTGGGTCACATCTCTAAGACCTGCATCCTTTAATCCTCCCCCCTCAGCCTCACCACCAGAATGTGGGTTCACGATTCTGCCTTCCTCTCTAGTTGGGTACGTGTGGACACGTGTTCCCACAATTGTAGACTTATGTTAGTGATGCTTAAATGTTCTGGGTTTTTTCATCTGAGTCTTCTTCCTCTACCTCATCTTGTAATGTTTAGTTATTACATTTACTATATTTCATTTTTGTAATAAGTCTGATTTCTTTTTACCATGTATCATGATAACATCGCATAGGTAATTTCTTTTTATTATACTTACACAAAAGCCTTTTCCATCTCATAAATAAGAAAACTTAGGCTCAAGAGAATTAACGTCACCTGTCTGAGGGCAGACACAGTTAATAAGTGACAGAGCTGGGATTCAACCTGCAATATAACCTCACATGAAACTTAGAAAATGAAAAGAATTTTTAAAAGCTGCCAGCAGCCCGAGACAACCACCATTCCCAACTCTGTGGTGTAATGCTTCAAGCAGAGGGTTTTGTTTTCTTTACATTTCTGACCAGACTACCATGACTTCATTGCCTCTGTGTTGAGTCCAGGCCAAGGTGGTCATAGCTCCCTTGCCTTCTCCCAGAATTGGTGAGGAACATTTGAGGAGCAAACTGCAGTTGCTGCCTTCCCTGCCTGGGAAATGAGGAGAGACACCCCCAGTGGACAGCCCCCCAAGACAGGGCCTATGTTCACATCTGACTTTCACCCTGAGCCTCACATAGAATCTCCTTCCTGAGCAGGGTTGGGGGTTCTGTTTTTTAGGCAGAAAGGAAAACCCAAGAGGAAAAGCAAATACAAGATCCTGGATGCCACAGATCAGGAAAGCCTGGAGCTGAAGCCAACGTCTCGAGCAGGTAGGAGCCGACTCTTACTGGAGTGAACTGGGTCTGTTCACTCTCGCTGTGAAGGGCCACCATGACAAGTCCACTCCTGAGTGTGACACTGGCAGCTCATTGTGCTGGTGAAGCATTTTGTCCCCTTGCCTGATGAAGACCAACGGTCACTTTGCCCTGAGCTGCACCTGGACGGGCGACTCCAGGGCTCACTCCCAAGTGCCCTGTTCAGTCTGCACAGGGGCTGTGCCTCTCACCCTCCTTTGCCCACTCACTCCACTCAGTGACATTTTCCCACCTGCATTTCAGTTGTTTGAGCTGTCCCAGATAGTGAGGGTCTTGATGTTTTACCAGTCTGTCCTTCACAGGCAGAGACAAGATCAAAGCCAGTGTCTTTAGCCAGCCTCCCTCTCCCATCATCTCCTCTCCAGTTCTGGCAGAGCCACAGCTTCCATCATTATCTCAGGGCAGACAAGAGAGCAGCTGCTTGTGGGCTTCAGGTGTGCAGGGCTCACAATCAGATGCCTCCACTGGAAAACTTCCTGCTGCACAAACTCTGCGGTGACCCTGAGCACTGGGGCAGTTAGGACAGGTGATGGGGCCTCCCTCACTGGTCTCAGTCAGTTGGTGAGGATTGTATGCATGGGTGCCACAGGGCCGGTGTTGTCTGTTTGTAAGAGCTGGACTCCAGTTAGAGCTGTTCCTGAACACTCTGCAAGCAGAGATGTTTTTATACAGAGCAGTATTAAACACCTTTCATACGTAAAGCTTCACTATAGAAAGTGGCTGCAGGGGGGAATAGAGTCATCAGACGCGGGCTGAGCCCTGAGTCTAGTGAGGGAGAGAGGATACACAGTACTAGAGTAATGCGGGCAGTAGGAGTGCCTGATGGGACTGCCGAGAATGGGAGTGTAGATAAAAATGAGCACAGTCCATAAGCAGCCAAGCTTTTTTTTTTTTTTTTTTGAGACTCAAGCTTTCACCCTGGGTAGAGTGCCATGGCATCACAGCTCACAGCAACCTCCAACACCTGAGCTCAAACAATTTTCCTGCCTCTGCCTCCCAAGTAGCTGGGATTACAGGCACCCACCACAACGCCTGGCTATTTTTGTTGTTGTTGTTGTTGTTGTTGTTGTAGCTGTCGTTATTTGGTGGGCCTGGGCTGGATTCAAACCTGCCAGCTCAGGTGTATGTGCCTGGCACCTTAGCCACTTGAGCCATAGGCACCGAGCCACAGCTGGGCTTTTTAACATGCTACTCTGCCTCTGTTTTTCTACCCCTTGAAATTCTTCAATAACTTACCATTTCCAGCACAGAGAACCAGCGCTTTGGTCTGGTAGACACAGCCTTTGTGAGCATATATCGGTTTGTTTTCCTAGAAACTTCCTCCTTGCTGTCTCTTTCTTTTCTGAACCAGTTCTGCTACTGCAAATATCTCTGCCCAGAATGCTCTTTCCCATCCCTCCCTTAACCTCCTAACATCATGGTTATCTTTCTCCCACATGTCTAGTTTGGCATTTCTCTCACTGTCTTAGAATTAGTTTGTATTTGTGTCCTTACCAGTCAATGTAATCCTTGAGGGCAGGGGCTGTATCTCATTCATCTGCAGACATGGATTGAAACCCCTGTGTACCAGGCCCTATGCCAGACATTTTTATATTGTGGTGAGTCAGACTCTGCCCTTATGAAGCTTATATTGAACAGACATTAAAAAGATAAACAGTATGAGGTCTGACAATTAAGTTCACGAATTTGTCCTAGAAAAAGTGCTACATACTTCATTGCTGAATATCACTTCATTCACCTTCAAAGTACTCCCCTTAGGAAGTAACACCACTGACACCAGCACCTAGTTTACCCTTCCATGCAATTTTGGAGCTTTCTCTGGAGTGGGTCATCAAAACTGTCATAGTATTACCCTTGATGTACTGAACATCATCAAAATGTCTCCCTTTCAATATTTCCTTCATCTTTAGGTAAAGCAAAAAGTCACTAAGGGCCAGATCAGGTGAATAGGGAGGGTGTTCCCATATAGTTAATTTATTTACTGGCTAAAAACTCTCTCACAGGCAGTGCCATGTGAGCTGGTGCATTGTTGTGATGCAAGAGCCAGGAGTTGTTGGCCAAGATTTTCAGTTAAGATTTTCTTCACTATTTCTCTATCAATGTTTACTTGGTCTACCATGCTTCTCACAGTTAGCCCACGATTTTGATGCACAATTCAATGAATTTTTGGAATATTTTTGTCAGTTCTTGTTATTGGCTGCCCTGACCTCTCTTCATCAGTGATGCTTTCTGTCCCCTCAAAAAAACATTTAATCCATTTGTACACTGCCATTTTCTTCATGGCATTATCCCCATAAACTTGGACTAACATGTACTTGTTACTAAACTTGTACTTCTACTCTTGCCAAGCTTAACAAAAAATTTAATGTTTGTTGCTCTAGTTCCAACTCTGACAATTCTCACAATATACAAAATGAACACCACTCAGCAAGATACCACCACACATCAACATGAACATACCTGTGAGATTCTATTATACTGAGGTTATGAAACCTTACTGAGTTGTTCTATACAGTGCTGCCAGTGTAAGTACATGGTGGTAAGTTAACAAACATATTGTGAAACCTCATACATCAAATGTGATAATGTAAGGCTTTTATAAAGAATAACATTTTATGAAACTCTGACAATTCTCACAATATACAATGAACACCACTCAGCAAGACACCACCACACATCAACATGAACACATCTCTGAGACTCTGTTATACTGAGGTTATGAAACCTTACTGAGTTGTCTGTACAGTGCTGCCAGTGTAAGTACATGGTGGTAAGTTAACAAACATTGTCAAATCTCATACATCAAATGTGATAATGTAAGGCTTTTATAAAGAATAACATTTTGTGAAGAGTAAGCTGAGTCCTGAGGATGAGTAGGAGCTAGTCAGGTATAGCACCAGGAAATAGCATTCCAGGCAAAGGACCAAACTGGGAAGGTGCAGCTACTGCAAGGAGCAGGGGGCATTTGCTGAGGTTGAAGGTACCATGCTGGACAGCTGAGCAGGGGCAAGCAGCCCGAGGCTGGACAGGCAAGTGGGGATGCTACTGTGGGCTCCTTCTCAGAGCAGCAGGGAGCTACTGATAGTTAAGGGGTGAATGGTGGGATTTGGTTCACATGTTAGTAACTATGGCTGACATGCAAGGAGTTTGGAGGGGGCACGTGTGGGTGAAAGGGGATCAGACAGAATGTCCTGGGAGAACAGCTGTGAGGTGCAGAGATCCCAGGTGCATTCTGGAGAAAGACTTGGTGAGGTTGGTTGTGTGTTGGCTGAAGAGGGTATGAGGAGAAGGGTGGCTCCCAGGTTTCTATGGACTGGGCGGTGTTATTTCCTAAGATGAGGAGATGGGAAGAAATGTTAGAGAACAGGTGTCTGGCTTTGGATGGTTGTGCACAGAATAAGCATTTATCCTAATGGCGAGGGGAGGTGACATCTTGAAGGTACTGGCTTAGGAGGATCAGTCTGAAGACAACACAAAACTGAGTGGGAGTGCCTACAGGTTGGGAGGAGAGCAAGGAGATTTTTGGTCCAAGGAGGAGCTGATAGTGGCTCAGATAGCCTGGTGTCACACGGAGGGACACACAAGGTCGAAGCTGACTTCTACCCTGAGAGATAGGGAATGATAGCAGAACCCCTGGTACAGTGACTAAGTAAGAAAAGATGAATTCTGTGAACAATTGGGACTGGGTGTACAAATAGGAGTCTTCCAGCTACCATTAAGGATTTAGCACCTCAAAAGGGGGTTACGTCCCTCTGGGAGAAAGGTGAGTGACACAAGGGAGAGGTCCAGGGGTGAGGAGCCCAAGAGGAACCATCAGGAAGGGAGGAGGGGACTGACCCACTGGAAGTGGACATCAGTGTTAGCTGCTGCAGAGATCAAAGAATCAGAGTTGATGATGATGCTGGAGACATTCCAGGTTCCCTGAGCAGCTGGAGTAGAATGATGCGTGATAACAGAAATGGAAGGTGCAGGTAATTTGGATGGGGTTGGGTAAGGAACTAGAGGCCCTGAATATTTAAAAATCCTTTTAGATGTTGAGTAATGAAAACTGAAGAAAAGCGGGCCAGAGGCCAGAGGGCTTCCTCGGATGGGGATTCATGAGGACATCTGTAGGCAGAGATGCAGAAGACGCAGGTGGTGTGGTGGCGAGGGCCCTAAGAAGGGAACACGGGAGAAGGGCAGCCTGGAGTCAGGAGGGAGGGACAGAGGGTGATGGCACAGGAAGGGTCATGCTGCAGAGCTCATGCTGCAGGAGCCTGAGCTTCATAGAGAGGGCAAGGGCCACAGGGTGGACCAGTGGCTTCCAGGTGACCAAAGCTGATGGTGTGAGACCAGGCAAGGGACTTGTGAGAAGTGTCTGGTTGAGGGAGCATCAAGAGTCCGCTTGGGTTTGATAAGGATCTGACCAGATCCAAAGTATTGGCTCTTGTTCTGGGATCTGTCGGTTAGTAAGTGCTGCCAGAACAGTCACCACAGCGTGAGGGGAGTGAGCTTGGAGACCACACTGATCTTCTTTGTTGTAGCAGGTGGGTGGCTGAAGTTGTATAGCTGGAGGGAGAGCAGAGTGAGTGGGCCTGGGGCACAGAAGGGTGGCTTGTGTGGCAGGGAGCCTACCAGGCCATGGTTTGCAGGAGCCAGGGTGGGCTTGGGACATGGAAAAGGCAAGGAGAGAGGGTCCCACCGGTAGGTCTGATGGTGCTCGGCACTTAGGCCTCCAGGTGGAGTATGGGGCTGCCCACCCTCAGGAGACCAAGTTCATGTTCCGTGGCTGTGCTTTGGGTTTTGTTTTGTTTTGCTATTAATTTTTTCAAATCCTTGTACTAAGGTGTATTAGGTTGAACCATATGAAATTACTGATATTTGACCTTTTTGACCTATAAAGATGACCCTTAAAGATTAAAAGTAATTCATACAGAAAATCCTAAGTTCAGCTTTGATGGGTTTTCACCTGGAGCACATCTGTGTCATGAGCATCGAGAGCGCCCACATGTCCTCCTTCTGGCCATCCCCAAGCTCAGTTTGCTTCTCATGTCCTGGCATGGTGGGTGTCAGTGGAAGAGCTGGGTTTCACTCCTTCCACTCAGCATTGCCTCTGGGAGGGTCACCCGAGCTGTTACTGGTCGGTTCACTCCCGTTGCTGTGCGGTTCCCACTCTATGAAGGTATTTATTCATTATCTACACTGTCAATAGCAGTTGCCTTCTTTCCATTTTTGGCTTTCCTGAGTGCTGCCGAGAACATTCTCATCTATCTCTTTTGGTGAACACAGGTGTGGATTTCTGCTTACTGTATATCTAGGGATGGAATTGCTGAGGCTCACGAGGTATGTTCAGCTTGCATTTTTTCCAGCTTGTACGTTTTCGTGGGTCAACTCCACCCAGTTCTTCATGCAGAGCAAGCAGAGCCCTGGGTGATCACAGTTGCCATGGAGCTAGGAACAGATCTGCCCCTCAGGCTCCTGTGCTCGCAGCTATGGCCACAGGGCCTTTAGGAAAGAAAGGAGGCTGAGAGTGGGCAGGTTCCATGTTGGCAGGAGCAAGGCAGGGCCTTGGCAGGACCTGGGGCCTTCCTTGAGCCTCTATTTCATAGTGGCCACTGTCTCCACCACACACTGAAGAAGGCCAGGCTTCCTGTGTTCTGTGGTCCTGCCATCCTGAGACTCAGTAGGAGAGGTGGCTGGGCACAGTCATGTCTCAGATGTATCCGGACAGGGCTGGGCGGGTGCAGACACGGCTGCACGAGGGCAGAGCATGAAGGAGCCACCGGTCTCCGAGTGAAAGACACAATCAGGGCAGCGGCGCCTCAGCCTGAGCTCAGAGCACTCACAGCTTGACTTGGGTCTGGCTGGCAAGGAGAATGGCTGAGAATCCTCTTAGGACGCTCTTTCAGTGTTCTCTGGGGTCCTGGATAGGACCAGGGAAGGGAGACTGATCAGATATGCTTAATCTCACTGGTCACTTCTTTAAGAAAGGAGGAAGGTAGTTCCAGGACCCAGAGAAAGGTGTGGTCTCCCTGTTAGCCATTCCTCTTTCTGGCCCTGCTGTCTCACCCTGCCGCTGCTTTCTCTGGAGTACTTTGTACCTCCCATTGGGCAGTCATCTTGCTGTTGGACGAGATCTGTTCTAAAGGTCTTACCAGACCATGTTAATGGCTGTGGCTTCTTTGCAGCTATAGGGATAAGTAGTGAAGGAGACCACCATGGCTTGGAGAATCGCAGGCACCTTTCCGACCTGAGATGCTTCCTGGGTCCTTGTGTGTGTCCTGATGAGCTGATTGCTTGGGACTGTCTCTGAGAGTCCCTCTCCAGTCAGGCTCTCCCCACAGGGGGGTCTCCGGAGCATGCACAAGCTTGAAACTGTGGAACAGATGTCTCCATGGAGTGCAGTGAAACAGCACTGCCTGCTGGGGTCAGGAACCCAGTGTCCTGCTGAGCCAAGATGTGGTTAGACTAGACTCTTTCTCTCCAGAGCCTGAGTTCTTTGTGCTCTCCTGCCTCCCATCTCACATTCATAAAGGGAGAAGATAAGATATTCCTAAAGCAAGATGATAAAACATTCCAACTTTAAAAGGGAAAGAAAAGAGAATGTCCTTGGATGGTACTAACCACAGCCCCTGAGTCCCAGGTACCGCTCTGTCCCCCAGTGTGTTCTCTGTGACTCCTCCTGGGGACTGTGCCAGCCAGGACTGGTGGCAGTAGGACTAAGGAGGCCTCCTCCCCACCTGGTGCTGCAGGACTGTGGTGCTGAGTGTGACTCTGGCGGGGAGGGTCTGTTCCTGACGCCGGGTCCTCTTTCTCCTGCAGGCACCAAACAGAAAGGCCCGACGCTGAGCAGCAGCCTGATGCCCTCCGAGTCGGAGCTGGACAGTGACGACGCCATCTTCACGTGGCCAGACCGCGAGAAGGGCCGGCTCCTCCATGGTCAGAATGGCTCCGTGCCCAATGGACAGACTCCGCTCAAGGCCAGGAGCCCACGGGAGGAGATCCTATAGCCTCCTGCCTCTCTCTGCGGGGCAGGGCCCAGCGCGCTGCCAGCTGCTCCTCCTACCTCCAGGTCTGCAGGCTGCCGCTCTCCGAGCATCCGCCTGTCACTCCGCCCCAGCACTCCGGCCAGACTGCGGAGTCTCTAGTTCAGAGACATTCTCCAGGGAGCCCTGAGCGAAGCTGTGAATGAAGAGGTTTCCTCTTTACACCTGTCTAGTGGGCCCCAAATATCCTCACCTCAGGGCCTCCATTTTTGCAAATTCCTCCCCTGCAGCTCCCCTGCTGGCAATGTCTTTGTGCCCAGGGCAGAGCCTGCTGTGCCACCCGCCCCTGCAAACACATCTGGTAGAGGACATCCTGTCCTCTCTAGGCCTGTAGGAAGTAGCATCCCCACCCCATACCACCATGCTGGGACAGTAGTGCAGAAATGACGTCGGCCCCCATTAGCACCAGAGCCCCCTCCGTTTTGTCTGGCCCAAGATTAGGGGAGGATTAGCTGTTTCCGGGATGGCTGCTAGGTACAGACCACCTCCCGACCTCCTCCTCTGGCCAGCACTTGCTGCTTCAGGGCTCAGGCCACCACTCCTGTCCCGGAGGAGACAGCCACAGATGGACTGGGCATGTGTGCGACCACCTGCCCTGGTCCTCTCTGTCCCTTGCATGTGTGCGTGTCCGAGCGAGCACGTGCAAGCGTGTGTGTGGCAGGTCCTCGCAGGGCTCTGAGCTGCTCACTAGGCAGCCTGGACTCAGAAAACCTCTCAGCCCCTTGGAAGGGAGACTTCCTGGGTCCCTTTGGCCCTGCTCCTTAGCCTTGGTATCTGGGTGCAGAGGAATGGGAACTTTGGGGGCATGACTTTTAAAAAAGATACTGTTTCTACTACTGCACTACTGTCTGTTGTGAGATGATTAAACACACTATTTAATTGTGCACTTCGCCTGCTGGCTGTGCTGCTTCATGAACATCTCTGACCCATGCCACAGATCTTGCCACCCGGCACCCCGTGAGGCGAAGACTGCTGTAAGTAGTCTCGGCCTGCCATCAGCCCAGGACTCTGCCTGCCACTGGGGGGGAGTGCCCCCCACTGTGGCCCTGCTGGTCACTGCTGCCCTTTGGCTCTAAGGAAGGGGGCTTATGTCCTCTCTTGCCACACCTTTTGTTAACACAAACATGATTCACGTCTGCCTGTGGCCAAGCTGGTGGACACAGAGTGTCCTTAAGTCCAGGGTATAGCCTTGAGAATTTTTCACCACTTTCCCTTTTGGGTTCCCAAATCGGTGGGGGTTGGCCAACATGGCCCAAATGTGCTGACCGTACCTTCTCCATGAAGCACATTGCTGGGCTGGTGCACAGCCTTCAGCTTCGAAGACAGGAAGAAGAGAAGGATGGTGAGCTCATGCCACCCCCTGGGTCTTGTGCACAAAGCCCAGATGCAGGCGGTGGTAGTGGCGTATTTGTACAGGGCCAGAAGTAGAGACGAGGAACATGAGGTAACAGCCCACACAGACAGCCACAACCAGTGCTTGCTCTGAAGCACAGTTTCTCAGACTGTAGCCTCAGAGGCCTTGATAAGACAAGTTGCTGGGTTCCTAATTCAGTAGGTCTAGTGAGAAACATGGGAATTTGCCTTTCTTTTTCTTTTCTTTTTTTTTTTTCTTTGAGACAGTCTCACTTTATTGCTCTCAGTAGAGTGCCATAGTATCACAGCTCACAGCAACCTCCAACTCCTGAGCTTAGGCGATTCTCTTGCCTCAGCCTCCCGAGTAGCTGGGATTATAGGCGCCCACCACAACCAACACCCGGCTATTTCTTGTTGCAGTTTTGCCGGGGCTGGGTTCAAACCTGCCACCCTCGGTATATGGGGCCGGCACCCTACCCTGCCTTTCTTTTTCTTTATTTTTATTCCTTTGAGACAGAGTCTCAGCTCTGTCTATCACCCTGTATAGTGTGCAGTGACATCACAGCAGCTCACTGTAGCCTCAAACTCCTGGGCTCAAGTGATCCTCCTGCCTCAGCCTCCCTAGTAGCTGGGACAGCAGGCACCCCCACCACCACACCTGGGTAATTTTAATTTTCCTCTTTTGAGTAGAGATGAGGTCTTGCTCTTTTGCTCAGACTGATCTCTTCCACTTGAACTCAAGTGATCCTCCTGCCTTGGCCTCCCAGAGCCCCAGGATTACAGGCATGAGCCTTTCTAACAATTTTCTAGGAGATGCTGACACTGCTGGCCCAGGGGCCTCACTTTGAGAACCTCTAATCCAGAGCACATACTAAGTACAACCTGACTAGGAGGCAGCAGGTGGCTCATCCTGAGAGAAGGTGAAGAAGAGGGAGAGCTTTCATCTGCCAGGAGCGTATTCCAAGCTAGGGGCCCCATTTGCACAGAAGGGAGTGGTTGGTGGGGCTGGCAGTGCTGCTGCTGGAGTATAGCTACAGCAGGGCAGGCTCGGTGGGTTCAGGGCACGTGGGGAAGGGGGGGCGCACATAGCAGAAGCTGTTGGCAGCTTAGGCAACAGAAACAGTAGAGCCGGCTGGGTATAGGCCAGGCAGCACAGGAGATGGGCAGGGGGTGGTAAGGACATGGTGAAGCTGGGGCGTCAGGAATAGCTTTAATGCCTCGGGAGGGAATGTACTGGCTCTATAGGGAGGCTTCCATTTCCTCTGGGCCTTATTTCCACCTCTGGGCTTACCTCAGCCACACCCATTGAAGGAAGTATTTGTATCTGTTTCAGAGATGAAGTAATTTTTCATCCCCATTGATGACAAAAAAAAAAAAGACACAAAAACAACTGACACTGCGGGTGGCACCTGTGGCTCAAGGAATAGGGCGCCAGCCCCATATGCCCAGGGTTCAAGCCTGGCCCCAGCCAAAAAATCAAAAAACAAACAAACAAACAAAAAACCAACTGACACTGCTTTGTTGCAGACTTGGAGTCTTGCGTTGAGAAGATGGCTCCGGCAGAAATCTCTGGGGCTGCTTTGGGGGAGCTGGGCTGCCATGTCAACTCCTGCCCACTTCCCATCATCCTAAGCAACCTTCTGAAGTACTACTGCATTCCTGGAGCACAGGAGTCCTGCCTTGACCAAAGTTAGCTTGGCTAAACCTTCCTTCACCCTCACCAAAAGCATTTCCAGTCTTATTTTTCTAGAATGGCCAGAAGAGAGGCCAACAGAGAAGACTTTCGCATTTCTTGAACTCCACTGGGTACAGTGTGCACAGAGGAAACCGCCACCAGAAGGCAGCACTCAAGAAAACGCTCCAGGGCTGGAAGGCTTCAGCTTTGCCTTTCTATTTAGAGAGATGCAGGTAAGAGACTAACTTTGGGGGATCTGGTAAGTGGGAGGAGCTGGAGAGGGCCTCATATGCCCTGAGTAAGCTCTCTGAAAATGGCACAGAGAGAAGGTGCCTGTAGTCAGCAGCCACCAGCCCATGGAAGGGTGGGTCTGAGGAGCATGGAAGCAGGCCCTTTGCCTCTGTGGATTTGTGTTGACTGGTTTAAGGGCCTGTGTAGGTTCTCTGGTCAGACAGTTTGGGGTTGGTGCTGATGATGGCTGTCTCACAGCCAAGATTTCCAGGACTGGAGCTGTAGCTGTCCACTCTTGTGCCTCCCCACAAAAGGCCTAGACACGTTTTGCACCATATGGTCCAAGTCTGTCCAAATAGGCAAAACTCCCCCTCCTGCCGGGAGAGCTGCTCTGACTTGCTCAAGTTTGACATTAGAGTGTACTGATTAGGCCCATTGGGTCACAAGGAACAAACTAAAGTTACCTCTCACGGGAGGAAGGTCAGGCCTTGGCCAGGCTTTTATCCAGAATTAGGGCCCGGCAAATTATTCCAGTGCCCTGGTTTCGCCTTGCTGTTTTCTCCCTTCACTTCTTTTTCTTTCTTTCGGCTGGGGCTGGGTTTGAACCCGCCACTCCGGCACATGGGGCCAGCACCCTACCCTTTTGAGCCACAGGCGCTGCCCCTCTTCTTCCCTTCTAATCAGTCAACACCTCGTCAATATTGGCAGTTCTCACCCTGGCTGCGTATTAAAATCAACTGAGGAACTTTTAAAAACTGCAGGGCGGCTCGGCGCCTGTGGCTCAAGCGGCTAAGGCGCCAGCCACATACACCCAAGGTGGCGGGTTCGAATCCC